TATCAAAACTTTGGTAATGAGGCTGGCGATCCATATACTATATGACCCAGGAGTTACTCAGTTCAGTTGTAATAATTAGACCATTTGTACTTTTGCAGATACTGTATCTGAGCATCTTCACTAGAAGACAAAAAGATAAACCTTTTAGTATAAATAACATAGATGGGTATCAGAATATATTTTTTCTGTTTTTATGCCTCTTTCTAATTTTACAAAGAATATTCTTAGTAAACTATTATGTAGCTCAATAGAATTATTGTATAATTCAAATATATAGAAATATGTGTCTTTTGAAAAGAGACTAACTTTTATTAAATGGTTTTTTTCTTTTAATTCTTTGTTTTAATATGAATTGTTGTTTGCTTCCAAACATTAATATATGATTTTGAAGTTAGTGTATTTTAATCAAATATCATCTCTCATTTAGTTTTGGGTCTTAACCTATTGCATGTATGGTGTATTTTGTTATTAAAAATGCTTTAGGCATACACAGTGATAGAAACCATTTTCAGGTCAGTTTTTAAGTACCTAATTGAAGGTCATTTTGTTCTTCTCGTACAATTTATACAAGTATTATTTTACACTACAATCCTTTTGCAACATGCAAAGCCATTGGAAATGAAGGGAACTACTGCTTTGGTTGGCTTTTAAATGGAGAATAGATCTATCCAAGACCGCAAGGAAACTATATACAGTATTAGTAGGTATCAGTGGTGGAATCATAAACAAGAAAGGAATATTATCTTTTAGTCTCAGCATGTAATGTTTCTAGGTATATCCACTAGCACTGTTATCAAAAGATTGGTACATCAAATGAAACTTTGAACTGATCCATTGGGTTTTGCTTATGTTCTGAGAATTGTGGTTCTTAGGGCATAAATAATAATTTTTTATCTGAAGGAAGCCTTAAAATTTTATGGAGGAAGGGAAACTCTCTTTAGAGAAAGAAGCGGTGGTAGAAAAAAATAAAACAAAAATATTGGGGAAAAGTGATATTAACACAGGCAATAAACCATTCTGGTCAAATATCTTTTATCTTTGTGGAATAAAATACAGATGTTAATGGAATTTAATGAACTACTTCCAAAATGACTGAAACAAAAAGTGTATTTTTAATGTTCTGGGTAGTGATACAAACCAGCCAGCTGCTTGAAGCGGCACCCAGTTTTCTATTTTGCCTGTAGGCAAAAAGCTTTGTCCATAGGGGTTGGACCTCATCAGGCAGCATAACAAGACCTAGTGAATTATTCTTGTCTTTCTGAGAGCTTCCTACCAGATGCATATAAATATCTAGGTCTATATTCCTAAGATACAGAATTTCCATTAATATCTCAAAATCAGCAGAAACATTTTCATTAATGCCCAGGTTAAAACATACTGGATATAATGCGGATATTCCTCAAGTTCTTTTTGAAAATTTCAAGTAAAAAATATAAGGCAATATAAGTAGAGATTTGAAGTAAAGCATGATTTTGAGGGACGTTTAAAAATAAATTGTCATTCCATTTTTCTTTCACAAAACACTAAGCAGCATAAACTCTAGAAATCTTTGTCATTTGCTTTTTTTCTTTTAGCTATATTCATGTATAGCAGAATTGGACCTTCTCATAAATGGTTAAGTGATATAGTCTGAGCCTTCTTTGGAATATGGAGCAGGATTATGGTTTTTGGTAGGGGTTATTTTTTCCCATATGCAATTTGTGAAAGTAACATTTGCTTTCTGCTAAATTGCCCATTTATTGTTTCTGACTTTGAAGTTAAAGTTGATATTCAGCATAAAACAGCAGGACCACCTTGTTGATTTTGATGAATCACCATTGATTATGGTATCCCAAACATGACCCTAGCAAGCCACACAACCCTCCCCAATTTCCTTTGTAATGTCTGACACAATTTCTCTATCTCCTTAGAATCTACTAAAGATGCACTATTGCTGTTACTATGTCTGTCTGTAAGTCTTAAAACAGTCAAACTTGAAAATTAGAACACATTGATTTGTATTGCAGGAATTGAGTTTTAATGAGCATGTTTCATTGTTTCCTTCCATTCTTATTTTAAGTATCATTTTGATTACTGATCAATGAAAGCTTCTTTCATGTCTCTTAGAGCATTTGGAATTTCTAATTTAGTAGAGATGCACTGAGCAGGTCTCATCCGGTGTTCTTTTATAACAGGTGCAATTCAGCTTCATTCTAAACTGTTCCAGTATCTTTCTTGATATCCACCATACGAATAGAGCATTCCACTTCATTATACAGGTGAGCCGAGAATAATAGAATTAACCTCTGTGTCTTTGTTCAAGTCAGGAATGAGGGAGGAAGGGAACTTAGGGAATTAGTCAATTATTCCTGGAAGAGTACTCTTAAAATCACATTCTCTGCAACTATGTGTAAATGGAATGTTAAGACTTTTTACATTTATCACATTCTTAAGAGAGTTGTTGGCCCAAAGGCAATAATAGCAGAACTTGCAGCAACCTAATAATTCAGACCCATATCTGAACAGAGAAGAATTGCCTGAATCAAAGTAAATATTTGTAGAAGTCTCTTTCCTTCCTCTTAAAGTTTTTTGAGGTAGTTAAATTATATACAATAAAGGAAGCTTTTTAGTAATTCCCTTTAAAAGATGGCTTTGGTATAAGTAGGAATGGCAGAGAGACAGGCAAGCACTGCTTTTGTCAATTCACCAAACTGCCATGGACAGGCTCCACTGATTTTTCAACATGAAAGGTTGGCTGCGTGCACAGTTACCCTCTGCTGTGGCAACATATGCATTATGTTTAGGATGATTTTCTTTGCTTTGATGAATATGGATGGGACCCAGCTGTTCAGATCTACAGAACATGCATTTTCTAGCATAGATCTGTGCTCACTCTTCAGAAGCAAGTAGCTAGAATCCATGTATGAGGTGCTGCCCTATAATGCACAGGTGAAAAAACACAGGAATGCCAATTCAGTGGCATGGATTTGCCCTAGTAACTCTTTCCCCAATTTAATGAGCTTCCTCAAATATCATTATATGACATTATAGTCCTGCCTTCATTGTAGACCAGTGGTTCTCAACCTGTGGGTCGGGACCCCATTTGGGGTCAAACAACCATTTCACGGGGGTCGCCAAACAAGGCTGTCCGCCATTTTTTCCCCTTTTCTTTGGCCATGCCCCTGGCACCCGATGATGTATAAGTGGTTGGGGATCACCACAACATGGGGAACTGTATTATGGGGTCGCAGCATTAGAAAGGTTGAGAACCACTGTTGTAGACAATAATCATGCAGCTAGATGTATCCTTAGTCAATCCATCCCATGCTGCCTGCACTGCTAATGCCATGGGGGAGCCCAAGGCTGACCAATGCTTTATGAGAAAAAGAATAGTTTTGTTTAACAGCAAGCTGTTATTGTCATTTCTTTCCTGTTAGAATTTATGTGTTTTCAGGGGTGGAATATGAACAGTTTTGTGTATAAGCACCAAGCATTCATCAGAATAACATGAACTGAACATATTATTGAGAAGGCAGGAATTTGAAAAAGCCAAATGGCAGACTGGCATACAAACAATAGCTTTCCTAAAGATTTTAGTAAGTAACATTAATGTTATGTGACCCAGTGGATTTAAAGTTGAGATAATTATATCAAGATCCAAACTGGAGCTTTTTCCACATGGAATAAAAAAGTATTTGGCTGCCCTCTAGTGGTTGCCTTGGCTGGTACTAGAAATAGCATGGCTGGTACTCTACATGTTCATGCTTTCAGGATTCCGACCTACTACTTGGTTAACAAAAAGAAAACTCCTTGAAGTGCACGCTCTCCTAGTGAAAAATATAATGGGCATTTGAAGGGGCAACAGATAATTTGCTTTTTATCATCTGATCAATTTGGTCATCTGATTTTTTGCAGCCCATTTCCCCCCCCCCCTTTAAATCACACACATACTCTTCTGGAGTATCAATTTGGGTTCTTATGGGGTAATAACTTTTACACCTAGGCTACCTCTGGTCAGCCCATTTTACCACACAAAGATAGCTGGAAAGTAATCCTGAATTAGTTAAAAAGAACAGAAACTGAAAGTTATTGATATTCTCTTCCAGTCAAGCCAATCTCATTTCCCTGAAACATGACGTGAAGCTTATGGGAGGGGAAAGGAGTACAAAGATATTCCTTGATAAAAGAAGAGGCAGAGTCAAATCTAAGGGCTTTGGGATTTATATGCACATGTAGCAACTGAGCGGATGCAGTCTCCACTGAAATTTTGCTTGAATTGATCAGAGATTATATGAAAAGTGCAGCTGCCAGCTTGACATAGGACTAGATGTTTTCATCAAATTATGAGATATGAATGCATAAAACTTATTCTCTCACCTTTAAGCAGACAGATGAATTAGCTAACAAAGATACTATTAATACCTCATAGGGACATTCATGTTTAATTATTTTTGCCTCAGAGGCATAGCGTCAGATTAACTGACCTATACATGCTGATAGCTCACCTGTAAAGTCCCACACAAATGAAAGTTGTTATAAGGAAAATAACACCTTTTCTGAAATTTGCCATTCAAGTAGACTGCTTTTGACTCTGAATGAAGAAGCTTCTATCCATAAGCCACTAGAATTACAGGAAAACCTCACTAAATGACAGAATTCCTTATCGCCCTTCAGTGAGAGATTAAGCCTTTCAAATGGCAAAGTAGCACGTCAAATGAAGGAAGTTAGCTTTCTTTACTTTGACATCTAGCTGTCAAGATGTCAAGAAGACAACTGTCAAGATGTCAAGAGGATGTCAAAATGTCTAGATGTCAAGAAGAGGATTCAAAAGTTCTCACCTATATCCTCCCTTCTCTCTTAGAATACAGTGCAGCGCCTTGCCTAAGGCCTAGATCATTCTTCATATGAGGAAAAATAAAGTGATTCCTCCCTCCTGATGGTCATAAGTCCACCCATTATATCAATGATCCAAGAGTTGCAGAAGGCAGAATAAAGAAAAATCAAGGCAAATACAGCTTATGTCTGTTAAGAAATTTATTTTAAAACACTGCCTTCTGAATCGAGAGAAAGTTTTCAGGAACATCTTTTGTTTTAAAGAAATTAAATAAAAGCTGTTTCTTATACTTTCACAGATCAGAACGATTAATTTGCAACTCCCCCACTATGACAGTTAATGGGTGTGATGTGGAAGATAATAGATTATCCAGGAGAACTCTTCAGAAGCATGCTACTGAATGTCGTATAGATGCTCCTTTGTAACTGGAAATGGCACAGCAAGCAGCCAAAGTAGTATATGTTAAAAATGACAGGTTCGTAGTCTTTCACCCCATATAAAATAGTAAGACCCTTCAGAGCTTTGCTTACTTAATTATACCACTGAAGACAAAACCTTTGAATTAGTTAAGCTTAAATCATATTTGCAGGTAAATGTTAGCCCCCTCATAGAGAGTATGTCAACGCTGTGACAATGGATGTCGTCACTCTGACACCTGAGAATCAGCAGCCATTTTTATTTTTGCTTCCAACGTGCTTTTTCTATTCTTTTGGAGTTCAGATGTAGAAGGGGGATGAGATGAATGCTTGAGGGTTTAGCTAGCCATAACAATGTAGAAGTGTGAGAACTCAAGGACATGATTTGATAAGATTTGGCGGCTGAGAGGCCGGTGAGAAAAGCCCTGTCTTGTGTTAATTGTGGAATGTGATTTATGATAGCAATTGTGGGATGGGAATTTCAACTTGTTACTTTGTACCTGGGGGAAGGGAATCTCATTTTTGGGTTCAACTATGTGAGTGCCGATATTTTGTTTCCAAATAAAATATTCTTTAAGGAAGAATTCTTGCCTTGAAGTTCTTTTACTGGTCTCATCTATCGGAACTATGACAGAGTATTTGGCACTTGACTGGGGAAATGTCAAGAATTTTTCCCCCATCCAAAATAAGGGCACATTGGAATTTGTTTCCAGCACCTCATCTTGCACTGTTTTCCAGTATTTTTTTTATATTTTGAGTGGGAGAATGAAATAACAATTGAACAGGTACATCCTGCTACTTTACTCCTATTTATTGGAGATGAGGGAAAATACAGAATAGAGACTTGCCTGGAGAAAGAGTTGTACAATGCAACACAAGCATGTGTGCAAGAGGCTGGTTATAGGTCTGTGAAAGACCCCTGGCTGAACTATAACTGGGGGAACTGAAGACCTAACTCACTAGAGGGATTTTTAAATATTCCTCTCTGGACAGAGACAGTTGGGATTCACAATCATTGAAGCACTGCATCATTGAATCAATATATATTCAAACCTGTTCCAAATGTAAAGCTTTTATGATTCCAAGTCTTTTGCCTTTTTAATAAATGAGATTTAAGGATGTTTTCACAATAGATTTGTGCAACTTCTAATTCATTGTGAAGGAGGGAGTATGACAATATACATTAACTGACATTTCAGACATCATACATTATAAACATATTACAAATATACCAAAATACCATATAATTAAATAATTGAAACCAATAAAAACAATGGTAATAATAAACAGGTTTTTTTTTCAGACTAATTCACTTCTGAACAGACAAATTAATGAAGTTCTTAAAAGAAACAAACCTTTTAAAAAACAGTATCAAGTTCAACAATTATTTAAAAGTGACTTTAAAAAAAAACAATAGAAGTTGCAAATATTTTTAAGGATTACAAATGTAAGGATATTTCCAACAAAGGATAGCACCATCAGCACTCACACTCACAATTAATTTATTGTTAGGACAGATCTTCAGGCGGGTTATGCTGCCACTGTGACCAATCCCAACAGAAATCACTTCACCTTCATTATAATCCCACACTTTTACTAGATGGTCATCACCTCCTGTAGTATAAAGAAGAGACAACTGTCAACAGTCTGCTTAGTAGCAGAGAACTATAATTAGCAGCAAGATTTGTCAAAAACGGATCATGCCAGACAAATCTTATTGCATTCTTTGACCAGGTGACAAAATTAGTGGACCAGAGGAATGCTATGGATATAATTTACTTGGACTTCAGTAAGGCATTTGATAAGTAGACCACAACCTACTATTTGATAAGTTAGAAAAATTTGGGTTAGACAGCATCACCACCAGATGGATTTGTAGCTGGCTGACCGGCCATACTCAGCGTGTGGTCCTCAATGGAACTGCATCTATATGGAGGGAAGTGCGTAGTGGGGTGCCCTAGGGCTCTGTTCTGGGCCCAGTGCTCTTCAACATCTTCCTCAATTATTTGGATGAGGGGATAGATGGGGAACTCATCAAATTTGCAGACTACACCAAGCTGGCAGGAATAGCCAACACTCCAGAAGATAGGCTTAAGATACAGAAAAATCTTGATAGACTTCAACATTGGGCACTATCTAACAAAATGAAATTCAATGGTGAAAAAAGTAAGGTTCTACATTTTGGCAAGAAAAACCAAATGCACAGGTATAGTATAGATGTACCTTGCTCAATAGTAGCAATTATGAGAGGGATCTTGGAGTCCTAGTGGACAATTGCTTAAATATGAGCCAGCAGTGTGCCGCAGCTGCCAAAAAAGCCAACACAGTGCTAGGCTGCATTAACCGAGGGATAGAATAAAGATCATGTGAAATGTTAATACCACTTTACAATGCCTTGGTAAGGCCACATTTGGAATACTGAATCCAGTTTTGGTCACCACGATGTAAAAAAGATGTTGACACTTTAGAAAGAGTACAGAGAAGAGCAACAAAGATGATCAGGGGACTGGAGGCTAAAATATAAGGAACAGCTGCTGGAATTGGGTACGTCTAGTCCAGTGGTTCTCAACCTTTTTAATGCCGCGACCCCCAACCGGTTGTAAGTCGAGGACTACTCAACCGGTCATAAGTCGAGGACTACTCAACTGATGCAGCACCGTTTGCAGAATGGGACCTTTGGCAAGCTCAGCAGGGCAGAGACAGCCTGGACAATTCCTATTGGCTTTTGAAAGCCAATAGAATTAGACTCTATTCAAGAGAGTCTATTCTATTGGCTTTCAAAAGCCAATAGAATAAAAGGGAGTAGCACAGCTAAGGAAAAGGGGGAAAAAATGGCGAACTGTGTTGTTTGGCGACCCCCGTGAAATGGTCGTTCGACCCCAAATGGGGTCCCGACCCACAGGTTGAAAACTACTGGTCTAGTCTAATGAAGAGAAGGACGAGGGGTGACATGATAGCAGTGTTCCAATATCTCAGGGGCTGCCACAAAGAAGAGGGAGTCAAGCTATTCTCCAAAGCACCTGAAGGCAGGACAAGAAGCGATGGATGGAAACTAATCAAGGAGAGAAACAACCTAGAAATAAGGAGAAATTTTCTGACAGTTAGAACAATTAATCAGTGGAAGTTGTGAATGCTCCAACACTTGAAGTTTTTAAGAAGAGACTGGACAGCCATTTGTCTCAAATGGTATAGTGTTTCCTGCCTAAGCAGGGGGTTGGACTAGATACCTCTAAGGACCCTTCCAACTTTATTATTATTATTATTATTATTATTATTATTATTATTATTATTATTATTATTATTATTATTATTGGTAGTAGTAGTACTGGTAGTAAGATATGGTAGAGAAAGTTTCAGTTTTGGTCTCCAGTCAGCCAACGGTGTTTTCTTTGGATGGCCTCCATTCCATGTTCTCATTTTATGTTTAATGTGAGAAGGAGAGACTCTACCAGGAGGGAGAGATAAAATATATTCTAAATTATTGGTTGTTGTTTTTTTTTTAAAAAAAAAAACAGCTTACCAGTCACAAAATACATTCCATCTGTTGTAATATCCATTCCATTGATAGAACCAGAAAGGGAGCCCTCTAATTCTCTGATTGGGGATCCATCAAATACTTCCCAGTAACCAATCTAGAATCCAGAATAGAATTGAATAAAGGAAAGCTATCGAACACTACTTTTCTACAATAATTAATTACAGTAATTGGAGTCATACAACTAGGTGTGATTTGTTATTTATTCAAATTTGTTATAGCCAGCCAGCTCCAATAGATTCCAGACTGCCAAAAGCTTCTTGGATTGCAGCAGTATAGAGAATGAATGAATGAATGGATGGATGGATGGATGCTTACCTTCCTATCTGTGCCACTTGTGATAAGCTGATGTTCATCAGGGTGATAGCATACACATTTGAATAAAGTATTGGCCAATATCATCTGCCGTCTCATGAAGTGGCTAGGGAAAAAAAATCAGCTTTTGAATTGACATTTAACTAAATACCTTACCAATAACTCTTGTTTTTTAGGAGCTGCTCTACTATTTTTGCCTCAGCCAAAAAAAACAAAAACAAACCCTAATCTAAAATCAATATCTTGACTAATCTAAAAGCTAAATAGAGTTAGCCTTGATTAGTATTTGGGGGACCCTCTGGAGAGCCACAACTGTACCCTAATCTGAGAAGTTGAACAAATATTTAGGAACATTGCATGGATTCATTCAGGAATCAGTCTTTCAAAGCAACTTTGTATTTACTACTGATCTGTGATGAAGCAAAGAATTAAGTCTCTAAGTTTCTAATACATATGAAAGCATAGGGACTGTCTGCTTTTTTCGCACAATATACCCAAGTCTGGCATCTGTCTGTGATCCAATTATTCATTCTATGAAAAAAGAATTTAACTCAGTAGTATAACTGAGCCATACTTCTATGCAAAAGTGATCTTACACAAGATCCCAGATAATGCATGTTCCATCAGTGCTGGCTGTGACACACTCCTGATTATTCTTCTTTATCTTGATGCAAGAAATAGCAGATATGTGTTCCTTCATTACTTCTTCTAGTTTGCGTGTTTCCTTCCCAACTTCCCATACTCTCACCTGATAGAAACATTATTTAGCATTCATGCCAAAATGGTATTTGAAGGATCTTGCAGTTCATAGATTTTTGGGATTTGTGGATTGTGATTTGTGGCATATAAATATAAATCAATTATTGTTAAACATTAACATTAAACATTAACATATACCTTTCATTCTCTTTTAAAGAAAATGCTATACTTGGTATTTATCTATGTGACCAGCCAATTGCTATTTTTTATTGCAACAGCATAGAAATATGTTTAGTAATATCACTACTCAGGTTCTATCTAGCATGGCTGAATTATCATTTAATATTATATTCAGAGCATAAAGACATACTTGTTGATGAAATCTGCAAGGCACATCAAGTTGGGGGGCTCTTTACCTGACCTTCACCACCTCCACTGATTATTCTTTTGCAGTCACTTGTGGTAGCCACAGCTGTCACACCCATACTATGAGCATGCTCAACCACGTACATCAACCGCCCAGTTTCCGGGGTGAAGGCACGGATTTTTCCATCATTCCAAGCTAACACAAAATAAAAGGAGTTTGCTAAGAGCAGTATATCTCTTTTTTTTCTCCCTCCTAAAGTAAGATTTCTGTAACTCAGTGGTCAGTACAGCTGATTGTTCAGTCTCAAGAGCAGGTTAATTTGAAGAACCTATTCCTTTTAAGAAAAATAGGTACAGTAGATGATGGATAGAGCATATTTTATCTCTTATCATGAGGTGAGCCTCAGCATTTTCTATTTAATTGAACAAAGCTGTACAGCATAAGCCAGCAGGGATTCATTAGTTCACAATGCCAAATGATGAAATTGAGAGTTACAATTCAATGTAGTTGTTTATCCCTATCCTGCCACCTTGCCTTCTCTAAATGCAGCCAAAGCATTTTTTAGTACTCTAAGAACTTAGCAAATGGCCTTAATAGTTTTGGTAAGCGATAAAATGACTACTTAAAACAGAAGAATTCATGATTGATACAATCCTTCCAGTAAGCCAGACATTCTAAAATGCTTTCACCTGAAATGATGCTTTTGCCATCCCTCATGAAATCTATGGCGTGACAAGTCATGTTGGGGACCGTAATCCGCAGCAGCTCCTTATTTTCAGGTGTATACCATACACGAATATCATTCTTGGAACATGTGGCAAACAAGTCAGATGTACCACTACAGGGTACAAAAAAACAAAACTTTGAAGGCACAGACCTGGCTATTGCTGCTGCTACATTTTTGCAATTTGTTACTGAATCTCAATAAGTAAATTACAACAGATTAAAATTACAATAACTCTTGTTACAACAAAGTCACTGGATTTTTACCTGATTTTTACTTAGAATTTTTGAAAATTCTTCTTTTCAGAAGAAACTTGAAAAATTTGATTTCAGCTATAATATGAATTCCATAATCGTATTTAAAGCAACTGATATCTGTATATTAGCTGCTTTAAAACTGCTTTAATTTGAGGAATGAAATCTGGTTCCTTTTAATATACTTGGAGCCAAAGAATACTCTCATAATAATTTAGAAATTAATAGCAAGGTAAATGTCACAAATTTTGATCCTGGAAGGCAAAGGATGCAGTACTGTTAGCCTTCTGAAGTTGTCCTGATCAGGAAGCAGTCTCGACAAGGAGGCTAGAACTATGCTTTAATGAGTTAGACTATAAAAATGTTGCAAACAGAATGTTGCAAATTAGACCCACATTTCTCCTTCCCTTCCTCTTATTCTATAGGAAGACTGAAGTACTGCTAGATACAGACAGTTCTGGTCTACTCTGGAATAAGTCAGTTTGTCATTTATTTATTTTTATTTGTTTATTCAAATTCTATAGTCACCCAACTCAATCAAATGACTCTGGGCACAAAATACGTAAATACATTCACAAAGTAAATTAGTAAAAACTGCAGCTGTAAGGATCATCCACATGTTGTTTAGAAAAAAAATGAGGAAATTTAATATTTTGATCTAAATGAATTTGATCTTTGGAAAGATACATCCCAAATTATTTTGGGGATCATGCAAGATAAAAAAAAATATTGAGACATAAGTATACATATATTTCTCAACACTGCCTATAGATTTAGTTGTAGAACTGGAATCGTTTGAAGAATATGTCAAATTTTACATAAAGTAAGAAAACAGAAGCATACTGATAGTTCAAAATATTTGAAGTCAAAAAGTAAGACAGATTTAAAGGGAGTTTTATAGAAGGCGGCCAGCAAAATGTGTCTTTTTCACATTCATGTTATTTTTTCATTCCTTGATTATCCATTGTATTTCTTTATAATTCACCTTGCTTTTTAATAAAACATATTTAACTCAAAGTACTGAGATCCTATTTGATTCCATGAATATGAGGATGGTTTGGGGGGAAAACACTAATCATATATGTGAAGACTGTTTTTGGATTTAAAAAAAACATATTTATATTTCTCCTGGGAAAACAATTTTATTTTCTTTATTACACACATCTGTTCAAATATCATCAAAATAAATGTGAAAGATAAGTTTGCATAATATCAGTTCTGAATATTTTACTGGCAGAATTTATGTGAACAGATACCAAAAGCAGAATACTGTAATCATTGAAAAGTGAAAAAACTACAAAAGCATCAGACAATACAACAAATTTTATAGTTTTCTCTGGTTCTTGCATCTTCCAAATAGCTAGAGCAGCGGTTCTCAATCTTCGTGTGACGGTGACCCCTGTCACACGGATGTGCTGCGCATGCGCGGCGGCGCCCCCATGCGCGGCGCACATGCGCGGTGGCGCCCCATGCGTGGCGCACGTGCGCGGCGGCGGCCCCATGCACGGCGTGCATGCGCGGCACCGCCCCCTGGGGGGGAAATGGCGGATTGCGTTGTTTTGTGACCCCCATAAAATGGTCGATCGACTCCAAATGGGGTCACGACCCATAGGTTGAGAACCGCTGAACTAGAGTCTCCAAATGGCTAAAGTTCACTAGCTAGTTAATTCCAATTATTATTTTTTCTTGTAAATTAAGAGGAAGGATTATTTAAGCACATCCTTACCCTCCTAGCTGAAAACTATTACAACTACGATACATTTCCATTTGAACAGGAGAAAAAAATTATTTGACTTATACTTACTATGGGAAAATTATATCATTGATAGCCTCATTATGGCAAGTGGCTATGAGCTCATCCTTAAAGTCAGAATATGAGAATCGGTAAATCTGTGACTCATTTGTGCCCACAAAAAATTGGTGGCCCTGGCCTCGTGGTGTGATAGAAGTGATAGCACCTTCTAACTGAACTTTTCTGTAAAACAAAAATGAAAGTTTTGCACAAAAGATAAATGGGTTTCTGATGACTCAATTTTACCTACTTCTTAGGGTTTTTTCTTTTTACAACTTTTCTCCCTTCAGTGATAGCCAATCTTAGCAATCTCAGCAATCCAGAAATAGACTTATGGTATATACCACTCCGTAGTACTTTACAGCAGAGATTCCCAACCTTTTGGGCACCAGGACCATGGAGAAAGGTTTTTCCATGGACTGGAGAGTGCGTGGTTTTGTGTGCTGCCTACATCCCCGGATGGGGCTTGGCTTGTATGTGTGGACCAGTTGCTGGCATGCCGTAGCCCAGTACCGGTCCACAGACCAGGGGTTGGGGACCCCTGCTTTACAGCCCTCTCTAAGCAGTTTAAAGAGTCAGCATATTGCCTCCAACAAGCTGGGTCCTCATTTTACCGACCTCAGAAGGATGGAAGGCTGAGTCAACCTTGAGCCAGTGAGAATCGAATTGCTAGCAGTCGGCAGAATTAGCCTGCAATATTGCATTCTAACCATTGTGCAAATACACTCTTACTTTTAAATCTAAAGGTTAAAGTGTAATTATCACAGTGTGGATTTTCCCCCTCTTTTATTAATACTAATTCATGAATTAAAAAAGAAAGCTCAGGAAAGAACTGCTAATATTTTAAATAATCTATTCACTGAGATTGCTTTATTTATTGCACGATTAGCCTCCATGCATTTTAAATTGGTACTTCAGAGTTGAATTGTTGAGCTGAAAGACATCACATTAAATTAGCAATTATATCATGCTGTGAGCTTTGGTTTATTTTTTTTGGCCTGTATGTCTCCAAAATTGCAGTCCTCTGTTGTTGAAGAGTGTCCCAGGTACCCTGGGAAAGATCAAGCCTCCCTTTCCCCCAGACAGATAAATCTAATGTATTTCATCTTAGACCCTATGGCAGCTGTATCTTACAGTTCTGACATCAACAAAAACATAAAGGGAGTGGGGCTGAAATGTGCTTTAGATCCCACACATCACTGACTTGGGGCAGGGAAAAAGAATGTATGTTAACCCTGAAACTACTATGCACAATTTCTTTGGAAGGGACATTTTTAAAAAGTGGCAAAGGGAAGGAGGAGAATGCCCTTCTTCTCTCTGTTTGTATATCATCATAAGCCTATCAAGGCTTTGGATAAGGGGGCTCATACACCTACGGATCTCTCCATGGACTCAAAATAATCCATTCTCCTCATTGTAGGTACCTTTTGCATAACAATGTCCTTGCCCAAGAAAATTCAGAAACTCACTTGATTATTTTGTACTTGGATCCCGAGCAAACAGCTAAGATTCCAGCTCCAGTGCCAATGACCAAGTCACCCACTTTCAGCAATAGCAAAGCTGTGACTCCCTAAAAAAGGGCAAAATGAAGACATTTAACTTACTTAGATGCTTAACAAATCACTGTATTTATGTATATTGACAGCTTAATTCAATATATTACTGTTGCTTACCAAGATGACATGTTGCATGTAAGCAACTGATTACTATTTGATCAGTAATCTTCTATAAAATTTATTGAGATGAGTTGTTTTATTATCTTGCCATACGAGTACATCATATAAAAGATCTGTCATTCCCTCGAGCTAAGCATGCATATACCTCATGCCAAATTGTATGCATCTGTGGCTATTCTCTAAGACAAATTTAACAGCCCTGAACGGTAATCATCTTACTTAGTTACAGACTGAGGCCGAAGGACAGTGACTAAATGATTAATCATATGGCATGAATTTTCATGAGTACCAATCTATTTTATCCTTCAGATGGATGGATAGACATATTTCTGCAATATTTATGTCACCTTCGGTTATGTTCAAGCTTATGTACAGAAATCACTTAAAATAAAAATCCCTAAACCAAGAGTGAACCAGCACACATAGAATAGCATCTTAGAATGAGTTAAAGATATCAAATAAAGAAAGCTGTTTAGAACTTTATCTTTATTACACTATTGACTTTTAAGGCACACATATCCACACAACAACATATAAAAACCTAATAAATACAATGGGTTCTTTCAAATGGTAACTTGGCACTAGTGGAAAGCATTTTACTTGTGCATAATGAAATGTTTGCTTTTTACCAATGCCACTGTCCCCCAAAGTTCTGTGGAGCGTCAGGTCTCAGGAAATTTCTGAAAGCTACAACAGGCAAATTATGAACATCCTGCTTTAAGCTTTCTGATGGCACTACAAAAACCATTGAATAAAACTTTCTTATAAATTCATACAAACACAAAACATAGTTCAAGCAAAATTAAAATTGGAACCAATAGATGTTTTTAGGAATGGGAGTAGTCCATAAGTGATGCTAAAATTATGGAGGCCCTATTCCCATTTCCCACTGACCTTACCATGGATGACAAAAGCCCATGGGGAGAAACCATCGGGAAACCAATGTACAGCCAGGCTGAGAAAACATGTGGACTAAAAAAATGTCTAGATTTCAAGTCATGTTAACAGGTAAGGAACTGATGTTTTCAATCTAGACCTGGGCAAGATTGCTCTCACCAGTTGGTCCCCACTAGCTCAGCAGTTTCTGGACAAAGTTGTCCAAAAAGGAATCCTAACCTTAACTTGCAGAAAATATCTCAACAGAAGTTAGCTGTGGCCAGTCTATATCCAGAAGAGGCTGTACCTGGTGAAAGATGCTCTGGCAAACCTTCAGTAATATCTAAATCTCTGAGCGCTCCCAGTCTGCAACCTTAATATTTTAAAGGGAGCATGATTGATTCAAAAGAATTTGAATCTCTTGAATGGCCCTCTTACCTTCCTCTTATTAAGCTTCCGTTTATTGGCACCAGTTCTAGCCACTGATTCAACCATTTTGCTGAATCAGATGTATAAATCTGCTAGTGTGCATAAGGAAAGTAAATTAACAATGGAGAGAGGTAAAGATCATGGAACACTCCTATATGTGTCCACTAGTTCTTGTAGAAATGTCTCTGTCTTTCCCGAACTAGTACTCTTCAAATGTGAATTATATGTTCACCAAGCCCAAACACTTTGTCCCTGCTAGCCTTAGAGTAGGGGTCTCCAAACTTGGCAACTTGAAGATTTGTGGACTTCAACTTCCAGAATTCTTCAGCCAGCCATGCTGGCTGAGGAATTCTGAGAATTGAAGTCCACGAGTCTTCAAATTGCCAAGTTTGGGGACCCCTGCCTTAGAGTCATGAAAGTTACAAGCCAGTAGAATGTAAGGTTGAACATGACTGATTTTGTACTGTGACTTGCACCTCCAAATGGGCATTGCACAGGTACGAGATGCTTGTGGGCAAAGATAGCCAGGCAATGTTATCATTTGCCCATGCACATGTTCAGATGTAGCATTTTTATTTGATAACATATGCACAAACTGCTACCCTACACTAAGAGCATGATCTTTTGGAAATGAATAGCTTTTGGAAATGAATGGACAGGACTTGAATTGAGTTGAACAGTAATGAAGACTAAAAAAAAAAGATAGAAGTTAATGACAGGAATCCACGTTATAGTTTTTTACAGTCATTACATACTTTTAAAAATAATTTTCTAAACGAGTCGAGTAATTAATTTATCTCAGTATTTGTTTCTGAATTGCCTTCAGTTATCCTTTCCAGTGTTGTCTTAGCAAATAAGCACTCACAGTGAGCTTCTTCCTTCCTGATCATTGTCACTTTTTTGTGAGACACTATTTTCAGCAACAGAATTCCTGCACTCTCTACAAATTTAGCAAGCTACATAAGCACATATCAGTAAATCTCCATGCTTCTAGTTGTATGAATAACTGTCAGTTCTTTCCAAATGCATTGAACACTTTTACCCAGGCTGTTTGCTCATTGCCTACACTGTTATATCGCAAAGTGCCACCTATAATAGTATTGGACTGTATCAAGGGGATGCCTGTAAAGCAGGGGTTCTCAACCTTGGCAACTTTAAGACTTGTGGACTTCAACTCCCAGAATTCCTCAGCCAGCCAGGGAGTTGAAGTCCACAAGTCTTAAAGTTGCCAAGGTTGAGAACCCCTGCTGTAAAGCATGATCTCTTTAAAATTCTGCTATGGAAATGCCCTTTTAAAATGAACAGATGTTCATGTTCACATGAGGCTACATGCATTAGGGTGGAAGTCAGCTTTTGTGCTAATAGTCTAATGAGAAATGCTCTTTTCCTTCAGCAATTATCCAGCAGCAGGATTATCATTGAACACAAAGCTTTCTTAGGAGGATCAACCATGTTTACAAATCTCCAGCTATCAACTCTGTCTCAACCCAACTGCTGCAAAGTAGTGAGGTGAGTTCGAAATGCCTTTACAGCTTTGCCACATAACAGGTGATAAACTAAGAAGTTCTCCATTGACAGATTTTGATTACATTTCTAGGAAATGGAAGATACAGATTTAATTCTCCTAGGCAATTACCTATCTATGCATACCATTTTTAACTAACTTGGATACAGGTTTTTTTTTCTGATTCCATCAAAAAATATACTTAAATGATCATTTTTTCAACAAATCTACTACCAACAGACTAATTTCAAGGTTGTCCTATACATCACCAGCAGCTATATAATCTATAATGCTGATAATGCTCAGCAACTCATACTAATGATGCAGTGCTTTGCTTTATACTTTACTGTGCCCTTGTGAATTAAACAAAAAGGCTGCTAGAAGGTTTAACATTTATTTTATTATTTACTTGTTACACAAAGAAATCGTAGCCTTGACAAATACTGATTGCAAAAGACACGTTCCAAGACAAAATGAAGCTCACTTATTTCCCTGCAAGAAAATGAAGCTCTGCATCACATTCTAATTACTTTCACTCAAGTGATTTAACATGTAAACACCTTCCTAAACCTCTTTTCATAGCGAACAATCATTTCCTTTCCATGGGAGTAACTAAGGTAAGTAGTCAGTATTTAAAGGAGTTTTATTTTACTGATTTGCAAAGATTTTAATGATCACGAGATAGTAATTTAAAGGGTGTAATTTCCAGAGATGTACTGTATTACATGTCTTTACATTCTGAATTTACATTTTGAACTAAGCTATGTTTATTTAACCACAGTTTGTTGAATAAGGCAAAAGCAAAATATCAGCATTTGTTTGGCCAATTCTTGATTTGTTTTTCTTTTCTTTTCATAGTTCTGTAAAGCCCTGGGCATGACATAAAACCAGACCAGGAATAAGACAGGAAATTATAAGTAACCATGATAATATGACTCAACACTAAGCCACAATTATACTCTATAAACCCAAAACAATCTTGATTCTAACCTATAGTTTACTTTTTTAAAACAAGCCATGGTTTAGCTATTAGCCCAATTGACAATCAAACTACATTGTAGCTAACCATAATATAAAAACCTAGCAATTAACTTAATCTCATCCCCCTGTGATTTCCAATAGTTAAGTAGTGGTATTACATAAAAACTCCACTGTCTTGGTGTTGTACCTTCCATTAGTGTAATGACAAAATCGCAATAATTTTAATAAAAGTGGATCATACTGAGCATTAGGGGTGCAAAAGAAATCTATTATGCATTTGAATGGGTTTTTTGTTATTTCATATGTGTACTTTTCAGATCATCAAAACAGTAATGGATAAAAACCAGCAGCTCACAGTCAAATGTCTATAATTTTTAGGCATCTGGAATTTATATAACAAACTCTGCCAGTTCCAGAAGTGTATAGTTTGAAATACCAATTACATGAATTCCTTAGTGATACACCTTCATGCCTAAACCAGCAGCTGAACATTATACAATATATTCCACGCCTTTACAGAAATTCACTTATTTATATCAATGTAGTGTTATGTAACATTGCATATGAGCTCACGGATTAATTTGCTTCTCTTTTCACACCTTCAAATCTTTTCATGTTGCTTCTTATAAAAATTGCAGATAAAAGTCAACATTCATCTCCTACCAAAGGTTTTAGATCCACTGAAACATAATATCATCTGAGGAACAGAGCATAATGAATGACCACTTATCTGTCCATTTCTTTGCAGAGATCGAAACATCCATATAAGAATTATGACTGAGCAATTTCAATCATTTTTTGCATTGAAAACATAGCCTTTGGGGGAACAAAGTCACTTATTTTCCTTTCGTTTGTTTCTTTCAGTGTATATTGGTGCAGTTTGTCATACTAAAAATAAGTTAGAACAGTTATGGAAATAACACAGAAGAAATAAATAACAAATTTAAGAAACCAATTTAAATTTGTCTTCATTCAGTGCTATTTTTATGGAAGAAGGAGGGTCAGTTATACAGTAAAGCTGAAGTTGTTTTTTTAAAATATTCCATTCCCTGATTTAATTCTTTAAAATAGGTCTTCTGCCTGTAATGATTTGAACTAATGTGTCTTGGGTTTTTAATTTAGGGAAAAACAGGCAAGTAATATTAAAAAATAATTTGAAAGTTATATGTGGAGAATTGTGTTTTCTCATGGAGCTCAGCTGTGATGTTGTGTTCTTTTTCTGTTCTATACTTCAATATGCTATATTAATCAATTTCAAATATGCATGAATTGACTCCAGAGGAAACTCTGTGATATGCATGTGCTCTATATTCATAGGTTTAATATGCTGGTCTATTCAGAAAATATGTTAATGACTCACCCTATTATAAAAATATATTACATTTCTACTTGCCTCTTTAATAATTAGCTTCTAAGGCAAAGAATCATCACTGCTTTCATAATTAAAACATGTTTCAAGGTTAAAGTTTGGGCAAACTATATAAAAGTCTAACTGTAAATACAAGATTTAATCTATCATCATTAGCCAATTGTACTAAAGATGGAAATTACAACATGAAGTTCCGTTCAGCAGCATCTTACTCTTCTGCTAGCCTGGATACCACCAAGATTAGTTCTCTTTATCTATATCGCCATTTTTTATTGCAAAAGGATTCATAAGATGCATACTTCTCTGAACTAATGCATATTCCTTTACTCATTGCTTTATATTACTGGACATTGTATGTCACTGATAGAGGACACCTGGATGCAAGCAATGAGTAAAATAGTTTTTTTTTCATGAAAAGGCTATTATTTCTTTTACCAAGTTATGGAATTTTATTCTTGTCCTCGCATCATTTGCATATACTTTTAATTTTCAAAGTCTGTCTTTTCCAAGGAGGTGCAACATCCAGAACAGTGCTACAAATCATTTATACCTTCATTACATCCTGGGCTACTTGGGAAATTCTGAGAATTTTTTCCTATTCAGTAGTGAGCTACTTAGAATTTCAGAAATTGGAAATAAATTTCTAAATTTTTTTTTGCTTTTTCTTTGCCTTCCGGAACATGGATTCCAGAACACATTTCTGAGAATGTCTGCAGGTTAGAATAATACAAGCAAAACTGACAGAACAATAACCTAAGCTTCTTTAAATAAAACTGACTTGATTTCCCTGATGTATTTTTAAAATGAGGATGAAGTTACTGAAATGAAAAAAATCAAATCACTTCAGGTAATATGTATGGTACATCACCAGGACAAAACCTTTGATTTGTATTGGCCAAACTGGACCTGCTGGCGAACAGGAATACCCCCATTAGGAAATGAAAAACCCCTCTCTACAAGTTACCATATCCTCTTCTGTGGGATGAATATGGACTTAAGACAGCTTCTGTCTGAATTATGTATTAAGGCACAATTATCTTTATTTGATTATTTGAATTGTTTCAGTGACTAATCTTTCTTATCTCTCTTAACACACAAGACTCTCAGAGGGTGCAGGTTCCCATCTCAATTCTTGAATTTTTTTAAGTTAAAAAGTGAACTACAGTGCATCCAACAAAGGATTTTATTTCTCCCTCTGAATTGTTGAAAAGGGATTCTTTTTGCTATCACTATGTTTACAGTCTAAGGACAGAATGAATATACAGCAGTGAGTAAAATGTCATCCAAGTAAGGTTTAGATCAGTGGTTCTCAACCTGTGGGTCGGGACCCCATTTGGGGTCAAACGACCATTTCAAGGGGGTTGCCAAACAACGCAGTCCGCCATTTTTCCCCCTTTTCCTTAGCTGTGCTACTCCCTTTTATTCTATTGGCTTTTGAAAGCCAATAGAATAGACTCTCTTGAATAGAGTCTAATTCTATTGGCTTTCAAAAGCCAGTAGGAATTGTCCAGGCTGTCTCTGCCCTGCTGAGCCCGCCAAATGTCCCATTCTGCAAACGGTGCTGCACCAGTTGTGTAGTCCTCAACTTACGATTGGTTGAGTAGTCCTCGACTTATGACCGGTTGGGGGTCGCGGCATTAAAAAGGTCGAGAACCACTGGTTTAGATAATTCAGGACAGCTTTTGTTAAAAGAAGCTAGATGTCAAGAAGAACAACTGAAACAATCTGACAGAACAGAATACAAAATGCACAAATGGGAGAATGTTTAAGGGGATATTTAGAACATTAGAAAAGGAAAAGTAAGAAATAATTTATAAAAAAAATACCCTTTAGAATTGGGATTAGAATCCAGAGGTTGGGTAAAATATATTCAGAAGCAAAAAACTGGATTATGGTGACTATAAAAAGTAAAATGAATTGCCATTAATGGATATTTAGCAAGGTAAATAATTTACAGCCAGCAAGCCAAAGTATGAACTAATTGGATATGGGGCCAAGAAAACCATTATAAGATTTCCCATACTGTTGCTAAGAAGAGCCATATGGTATGGATTAAAAAATAGTTAATTCTGTCTCCAGTGTTATTTTTCCAGTCTGAACTTCATACATCTCTACTCAAAAATAATATTTGTCCTATAAAGAAATATGTAGATTTTTAGTATAGATGACAGAGATCATATATTATTGACATTGGTATGTTTTCCCTTCCCCATCAAAATCCAAGGTTGACCTTTGCTGCTGACTATAACATCTAAAGAGAAAACTTACTTGTGGACCTTTTACATCACATTAAGATGTGTCAATTAGCCCACAGAGAGATTGAATGTTAGGCTACAGATTAGCCTCAATTACATGAATCTGACACTATTTGCTTCCTCTCTTTTTTTTCTCATTGAAATCTCTTGTTGTGTTTTCTGTTCAGTTATGCAAAGTCAGTATTTTATCCTGCGATATAGTTTTTATGAGTGGTTTAGTTTCAGTTTTAATGCATTTGCCAGGGATATTTCAGCGATATCGATAGTGATTATGTTTCTACTTTGGGCTTGAACTGCCATGGTTTCAATTAGATTGCAGCACTAGTACGAACTGGAATAAATATATGAATAAATAAATACATTTTGCTAACAATGGGGAGAGACTTCCCAGTGGGATTGTAGTCAGCAGAGGTACATTAACTTGCACCGATTAGAGGCAAATGACAATAAATGTACTTTCTGAATTCCTGACCAGCTCAATGAACGCTTGCTTGTAAGGAAACCAAGACCAATATGAAAAATGACACATGACATATATATTTTTAATCATTTTTAAAAATCAGTTTTTTAATCATTTGTTCACATATGCTAATGAGCACAATACTTTACATTGCCCTGTGCTGTAAATTGTTACAAGTATCCTGTAACATCATTTTAGTGGCAGATCACCTCTTGGGCGTACAAAAATCTCAGCTTGGGCCCCTGGCACTTCCAATTAAAAGAAGGAAGAATAACAATGTTAACAGCCCTTGGGCAAAATGTTATTTATTAGATTTAACTTTCATGCAAAAGCTCAAGGCAGCATACATAGCGCTCCCTCCTTCCATATTTTCCCCTCAACTTCCCTGTGAGGTATATTAAACTTAGAGTGTGTGAAATGGCCCAAATTCACCCAATAAACTTCTGTGGATGAGGTAGATCACAGCCTTGATCTCCTAGCTAAATAATTTAATCACTACATCACACTGGCTCTCAAAATTGTCAGAAAACTGCTGGCAGTTAGAAGTGACAGTAAGGAATTAGATGGGCAAGTGATCTCCTTGGGTTGAAGCTAGCCCCTTGATATCTCTAATTGTTAGTATTTCTGCAAAACCTATTATGCAAAAACTCTGATTGGAGGAGACTTGTCCAAACATCTCGGATTTCATCAAGAATGGCCTCCTATCACAGCAAGCAGTCACGAAAGAAAAAGCAAACAAACTGAGGTTCCATTAGAGAGTCTGAAAACAGCTACATCAGAGAGTAGCTCATTCTGTGATCAAGTAAAAATAGCTCATAAAAGAGTCATAAGCTTTGCCAATAACTAGACAGCTAGAGCTTTATCAGCCTGTTCATTTACCCAATCTCTGCTGAAATTTAGTTGCTGTAGTATTTAACTTACAATACTTACAATGTGGTCTGCATGATTTTGCTCTCTCTAAGCAAGAGGTGGAAGACAGAGACCACTTACCAAGCTGTGTTTATCCTTTACTGGGCCAAAACTACTCATCAGTGTGCTTTTTGTATTGATTTTGAGGATATCACCCGTGGATGTGCCAACATAGAAGTAGCTGTCATCATCTGCCATCTGGGGAAGGGTGAGGAAATGGATTAGAAACCATGCTTCCCACAGTTCATTGGGGTGAGTTACCATATTTTCCGGCGTATAAGACGACTTTCTAAGGCGTGGAAATCGCCGCCGAAGTCGGGGGTCATCTTATATGCCGGAAATTACGGTAGTTTCCAGTGTATGAGACGACTTTCTAGGCATGGAAATCGGCGTCGAAGTCAGGGGTCGTCTTATATGCCGAGTTGCCTTATACACCGGAAAATACGGTAACAGCTTTGATATTCTATAACGTAAATTCAATACCATATTTGTACCTGACTTACAGGAATAAAGACTAGATTTCATTGCATATAAAAGGACTCAGATACCTATATTTTAAATATTTGATGTTATGTGTCTATTGTCCTTTCTTTATACTTGTCTACTGTACGTTGCACCTTCCAAAAATCTTTTATTGGTGATTTTTGCAAATTTACTGAGCATCATTTAAGGAAAAAGCAGTCATTCATCTAAAATAAATGTGTGCTGCATACCACTGTAGACACACACAAAAGGAGTAAAATCTCACAAGGTTGTTGAAGCTACAGCCTTGGGCATTCAAATCTCAAATCCCAATATTTCAGACCGGAAAGCCAAACCCTTATAAAATTTGATGAGACCACAAGAGGATGGCCTTGAATGTTTTTCTAAATAAAATTGAATTAATTTTGGAGTCTCATAGGATTGATAGCAAAATCCTCATGAGCACCTCACTGCCAACTTGTTTATCCAATAGTGTTCAAAAGTATCAAATGACAATGTAAAGATCCACATAAAGAAAAGAAAAGCTGGGAACTATTGCTTTAACATAAGCTCAGCAATAAAAGCAATTGCAATACTGAATAAAACACAATAATAGTTTTTAAAAGGGTCTAGTGTCTACACACAAACAAAAGTCTTTGCTTTCACAAAGACAATACTTCCAAAGTAGGGCGCCATTGTAAAAGACCTGCACACAGCCGGGCTGTAACTTCAAAAAAATAGCAAGACCCAGAGGTAGTGTCTCATTATAATTATGATCTTAACATACAGACAGAACAAAAAGGGAAAGGGACTGTAGACAGATTCTTCAGTTATATCTTCCAAAATAATCACTCCAAAACGTATAATGAAGTCATGTTGGAAAGTGGTTAGCAGTGCTTTTTTTGAAAAAAAAAAAAAAAGTGCCAGAACTCACACATCATACAACCCGCCTTGCCTATCCTACAAGGTTCCATCCAAAAAAGGTGTGGGAACTCCATTCTGGGCGTTCTATGACAAAAAAGCCCTGGTGGTTAGAATGCAGCATGGCAGGCTGACTCTACCCACAGCTAGGAATTCAATCCTGACAGGGTCAAGGTAGACTCAGCTTTCCATCCTTCTGAGGTCAGTAAAATGAAGACTCAGATTGTTGGGGGGAATAGGCTGACTCTGTAAACCACTTAGAGAGGGCTGTAAGCACCGTGAAGCGATATGTGAGTTTAAGTGCTATTGCTATTGCTGAGTCTGTTACTTTTGTTGGTTCTTATTGGTGCTACGGTTAGTTATGATTTGAATTGTTTCTAAGTGGGAGGTGACAGCATATGGTTTTGGACATACTTCATCCTACTGAATTAGATGTTTAAACTCAAATGTACCTTTCCCAAACTAAGTAGAATTTCTATAAATTGTTCTTTGGATTTTTTTTTTTTTTTTTTTGCTTACCTGACTCAATTTTTATACATACTATAAATCACAAATCAGCAGATGTCTTACCATGGCACAAGCAATTACTCTTTTCAGCTGTCCTGTTTGACACTCAATTGGTCGGATTTTTCTGTTGGGTAAATCCAGTTCCCATACTCGAATAGTTCCACTGAAGCCAAAGTATGTATTTCATTATTAACTTGAGACAGATTTATATCACACAAAACACTTTGGTGCAGGTCTAAAAGATGCATTTACTGTTTGTCTTCCAGTTATCCTAACTTCAGGAAAGTAGCTGACAACTTGGTATATGCCAAGAGATTGTGTTGGGAATGTAAGTACTTTCTTATTCTATTTTTGGGAGTTAGCTTCATTATGTGATTGATTAAAGCCGTTTGGAAAAGAGTGAAATATTTCCTGACTACAGCACTGGTATTTCTCATTTAGTGATTACAATTGGGCCCAGTAACTCAGTCATTAAACTAAGTGGTTGCTAAGTGAAACCACGACTATATTACTAATCTTACGTCAGCTTTCCTTCACTTTACATAATTCTGAAGGTCATTAATGTGAAGGTAGGTCACAAAGTTAATTTTTCATCACTGTCATAACTGCGAACAGTCACTGTACAAGGTAGTTGCTAAATGAGGACTATCAGTATTGAGCAGTAGCGACCTACAATATTTTTGATAGGACCTTTTTTTCAATTAATTGTATCTAAATAAGTAATCATTCAGATACAGCAAACCCCAAAGGAAACAAAGGTTACTCAAGCTGCTGATTGCACACTAGGAGTGGTAAAAGAAAACTTTCAAAACTTTTTCCAATGATAAATGCCATGGAGCAGAGCAATTTTACCACAATGTTTGTTTTGCAAACATTTTAGCATAAACACTCTAGAACTCTTCTCATCAATCATATAATTTGCAAATTTAGCTTTTTCTATAATTGATCAATAAAACAGATCTGGGTAAGTCTAAGTCATGCTGTAAATCCAAAGCACTGCAAAGGCAAAAAGGCATTTGGATATAATAAACATAGCAGCCATTACAATTTCACACAGCAGCTGTGCAGAACAGTCCTGCTGTTGCTTTAAGGAGTTGCAAGTAAGTGCTATAGTTATACTCCCATGCCTTCTGAAGCACTTTCCCTTCAGATCAACATGCTCATAGAGTACACTCAAGTGTACTGCTGGACATTCAGAAGCCAATTTATTGTCTAGCAATTCTGAAGAAAAAAAGCATGGATGTCTTTCATTTAAGAAATTTTCCATTACAGGTAGTCCTCAACTTATGACCCTAATGGAGCCTGCTCATTGCAGTTCTAAGTCATGACAGTCATAGAGTTGAGTAATCACATGACCAACTCAATTTTATCACCTTTTTTGCAATGCTTGTTAAGCGAATCAGCTGTCATTAAGCAAACCCATTGCTTGTTATGGGACGTTCTTGCAGAAGACCAGAAATGCTGGTTCTGGGGAAAAAACATTGTAAACCATGGTCATTAACTATGGCCCAGTTGCTGAGTGTCTAAAATGTGGCCATGTGACCCTGGGGGAAGAGCATCCATCAGAACTTCGGAATCAAGTTGCAAGTACCTCTTGGGAGGTGTTCATCATAAGGCCAAAGAATGGCTAAGCAACCAATTATAAATCAAGGACTACCTGTAAATAATTTTGGGACAATGCAATTAACAGGAACAGTACATTTTTAAAGAACTGACTCTGATAGCCTTTCCTCAAAAACAAAGCCATACTTTCCCGCACTGATGAACATCTCATCCTTGCAGTTGGAATAGACCAGGGTGGTTGGGTTCCCAGCACTACGAGCCGAAGCAGGACTACCACAGATGGCTTCTTTCTTTTGGATACTCCATACCACAACGCTGTTGGGAAAGCAACAGTGAATAGTTATTTTGAACTTGATATGATTGTGCTTTGAGGAGGATTTCTTCCAAATAAACACAATTGTAGCTATCTTTGGTTCAGTCATTATGCAAACATTAAGGAGGTGTAGAAGTGCTCGGTGTGGTTTTATTTCAACCTATTTTCCAGTATTTATGAAGTTTTTGAGATCAAATGAATTGTCTCGCCTACTAGAGGAGAGGCAAGAAAATTGACTGAATGGAAAAAAAAGAAGGGAGTAGAAATTATTGTAGTTCTTTGATTGCTCATTCATTTCATGCCAATCTAATAACATATTTGTATAACACAGTAAACCTTCATTGCTTAGTTAAGAGTTTGGTGAAAGGTGAACAATAGCTAAACAGCAGAAATAAAACAGTATTTATAGTGGGTTTCAAGAACCAATTAGTAGCTTATCACATCACATGTATCTTGAATAAACAATAAATTCCCAATTTCTGTGAGATAGTTAAAGAATCTTCCTCAAAAAACGGAGATGGTTGAAAGGAATACTGGGACATGGATTTCGTTTGATTGCCATCTGTCACATATTCCTCATTTAATTTTTCAAGTAAGTTGAGGCAGGGGGAAAAAATTAGGTCTCCCCCATCCAATATAGATTGATTCCCAATGCAATTAAATCCTTTGCAGAAAAGAAGCCAATCACAATTTCACATTGCTTCCAGTTGCCACTGCAAAGGCAGCTACTGTAGGATATTTATCCCCAGCAAACAGAAGTTGGGTACTACAAAACTAGTGCAGAAGACTGCAAGGAAAGGTTTATATGATCATCAACAGAGTGCCCCAAGAGAGAATCTCTCATTTATGCTTTATGATAAAGTTGGAGAATTTTGAGGCCATATCCAATATTTGGTTGAACTGACTCCTTGATAGGCATGTAGTTGATTTAAAGTAACTGACATCTGTACACTGAAATACAAGGTAGCATTTTTCCCAAGTTAAATGGGGAATGCCTGTTCTTATAAAATTACTGGAGGGGAATAAATCTCATTTGCACCGTTCCCTGGCATGTCATGCAGTAACACAATCTTTTGTTCATAGAATTTATAACCCAGTTCAAAGATTAAACATGCCAGCCCCCCCCCCAAAAAAGAATACTGACAACTTATCCATGTTTTTGGGTAAGCACACTGCAAAAAAATAAAATAAAATAAAAATACTTCCCATTATTAAATTGAAGCAAATACAGGACATACATTTTCATTATGTCACTTCACTATGTCCAAAACCAAAATAATGCAATATGCCATCTTATTTGCTTTTTGTTTCTAGTGACATGCATCAAATACAGAAATACTGTTCTTGGTAATAAGCATGGTGTACAAAATAAATGCATCTACTAAGTCCATACTACTCATGAACCAACAAGCCAAACACACTTCTAACAATCTTCTCATTTTCTTGGTTCAGGTAACAGAGCATCTAGTATGGCATAAAATACAGATAGTTCTCGAATTACAACAGTTCCTTTAGTGACCGTTCAAAGTTACAACAGCACTGAAAAAAATGACTTATGACTGTTTTTCACATTTATGACCATTGCAACATCCTCATGGTCACGTGATCAAAATTTGGATGCTTGGCAGCTGACAGTTGCAGTGTTCTGGGGTCATCTGATCCCCTTTTGTAAACTTCTGCAAAGCAAAGTCAATGGGGAAGCCAGATTCACTTAACAACCGGGTTACTAATTTAACAACTGCAATGATTCACTTAACAACTATGGCAAGAAAGGTCTAAAATGGGGCAAAACACGCTTAACAAATGTCTCACTTAGCAACAGAAATTTTTGGCTCAATCGTGGTCGTAAGTCGAGGACTACCTGTATAGCTGGTAAATTCCATTAAGCTAAGTAAGCATGCTTGGACAATTATATTTGTGTGTAATCCTTACGAATGGTATTCTCATTTCCTCTTTCTGTCAGAAATTCACAAATTTTCCTCATAAATTGCAAACTTAACGGGAAAGGGAGACTAGGCAAAATGAAGTAAAAGATATACAGAGGAGAATATATTATGCTTCTCAAAGGCTGAAGAGAACAGGCAAAAATCATTAAAAGATGCATCACGCCGTTCCTAAACGATGGATTCACACTTCAAACTTGCTGCATCATTCTACAGTTACAAATCAATTATCTTGTTTACTTGCTTTGTCACTTCAACTGATCAGATTTAGTAGTGATTCTTTTAGCATTACTGGTAGTTCTCACTTACCAACCACAGTTAGAATTGGCAACTGTCACTGCTGTGGTCGCTAAGTGAAAAATCACATGATTGTGCCAGACTTACAGTGTCACTTCCACACCCATTGTTAAGTGACTTACCACAGTTGTTAAGAAAGATATTATATAACCACAACTTGCAATTTCACTTCCATATTCTCCATTAATTCCGCTAGTTGAAAGTTTGCAAATAGTAATTACATGACCAAGAGATAGTGTGATGGCCCTAAATGCAAGAATTGGTCGCAAAGCTGTTTGCCCTAACTTCGAATGGCTGCTAAACAGAGCAGTCAGTAAACAAAGACTACCTGTAGTCCTATTATTTTGTATGTTCCCTTGGGATACATAGGGAGAGACTTAAAGCAGTAATTGATTCTGACAATGGAAATGTCTTGTTTTATGTGCAATAAAAAAACCTAAAAATATCTTATGCCCTTTTCCTCCAATGCTCATATATTGGGAATGCATAAAATCTTTTTGTTTGTGTGTGTTATTTATTTTGAGCAAAATTGCTGTTTCAAGTACAAAATAGGCTATATAGGCCTTTTGAAGTTTTTTCCCCCCAGAACATTTTGGAATTTGAACATAAAATGTTTGGCATCTTTCTGCTATACTGATCTTCAGAAAAAGACATGATTTGGGAAAGAAGTTAATATTATCCCCAACAAAATTTGAGGAATGAAACTTCACAGCAAGGGAATCATGAAGGAGAGAAATATAATTAGAGCTTTTCTTTGATTCAAGACAGGACAGTGGTCTTCTTTGTATCTGACTTCTGACTTTTTAAGAAAAAACAAGAAAAGAGAAGGCAACATATTTTTAAAGGAGTCTTACCTCCCATCATCTTGGCCTCCCAGTGAAACCAGGTAAAGGTCATTTGGAGAAAATGCCAGATGTTCAATTTTACCTTTGTGAAGTGACAGCCGAGACAACATCTCCTTTTTGCTGTAGTCCCATAAAATGATATCAGCCTGGGGTAAAAATATAAATAAAGAGTCTAAAAACATCATTTGGGAAAAAAAAAACCCAAGTTTGTTACAGAAAAGCTATTTGGATCCCAAACTCCAGATTTAAAGGAGTTTTTCCCCCCATATATCATTACGGGCAGCCTTTCGAATGGCTGAAACTTTATTGAGACAGAGACGCTCAAATGGAAGCATAACTTAGCCAAGCACATCCCATTTCTGAGACAAATAGCAGCATCAAGAATAATGTGTTAATACAAGGCAATAGAAGGGCCTGATGTGATCTACCCACACCATTAAATACTGCACAGCTACTATTCTATCCAGATACACAAAAGGTAACAAAGCATTATTGGGTACTAAATCAAAACCTCTTATATGATTTGCTCAAAGTCATACCAACTCTATGCTGTGAAGCAATTCAGAAATTAGTATTGAACTGAACCTGCCTTTTCATCTAACAGATCCATAAAAGACATTGTTGAGAAGGCAGTTAATTTCTCCTTTTCTAAACTGGAGGTGGGAGAGCAAGGGATAAAATTCAATTTCCCAGGAAAGGCGTTCCAGAATTTGGTTAGCTATACTGTTCTGAAAGATAGGTTTCGGAAAATGGGTAATTTGAAAGAAAATCTCTGTTGTTGAATTTATTGTTGTATAGATTTATATAAAAGAGATGCTATTCCTTAGTCTGAGTTGTTTCATGTTTTAAGAGGTAAAAACAATACCTTGAACTGTGTTCAGAAAGTAACTGGTGCAGACTACAGATATGATTCTGATGCTGTGTACAAATCAGCAACCTGGCTGCCATATTTTGCATCAATCGGACCTTTTAGACACCCTTCAAGAATAAACACCCTTCTGCAAAGTACATTATAATAATCTATTATAGGTAGTCCTCAAAATTACAACTACAATTGGAACTAGAACTTCCATTGCTAAGCAAGGTGGTTACTAAGTGAGTTATGCCCAATTTTGCCTTTTTTTCTCATGGTTGTTAAGAGAATGGCTGCAATTGTTAAGTGAATCATGTGGTTGTTAAGTGAATCCAGTTCCCTTCATTGACTTTGCCTGTTGGAAGCTGCCTGGGAAGGTCACAAATAATGATCACATGACCCCCGGATGCTGCAACTATCATAAATCTATCCCAATCAGAAAGGACTAAAAATGTTGATCCTGTAACCATGGGGATGCTGCAACAGTCATAAGTGTGATGACTGGTCATAAATCACATATTTCAGTGCTCTTACTACTTTGAACAGTCACCAAATAAATCATTGTAAGATGAGGATTACCTGGATGACTGAGAATCTCCATAGACAATTACCTGTAATTACCTACTCAAGGCATCGATTAATTGTAGGTGAACCTGACCAACCCAAGAACAATCACAGTTGTTACATTAACTATAACGTGCAAAAATGCTTTTTTCCCATTGCTATCACTAGCCAGAAACTGCTGAAAATAAGGGAACATCCGAAATTTCAGGCCTACTTGTCAGTAAGAGTAAAATCCCTGTCAAAATATGGTGAATTCTCTGATGTTTTAAATCAGCCATTGCCTCTCTTCAACTGTTATGCTTTCTCTCCAAAACACTATTTGAAACTAATAATCTAATTTATATTTAGACAATTAAATTGTCTTATCTAAAATCCAACACTGGCCTGACCCCCATCAGCCTATATATATAGATAATGTAGCAGGATTTCTCAGAAATATTCTACAGGTGGCCGTTACTTAATGATCACTTGTTCAGTGCCCATTCAAACATATGAAGCTGCTGAATGAGTGATAGTTACAAGTGGTCCTTGTAATAATGTTGATCACAGTGTCCCTGCAGTCACAATTGCCATTTGTAATTTTCTTTGCTGGCTTCCAACAAGCAAAGTCAAAGAGGAAGCTAGCAGAAGGATGCAAATGACAACAACATGATGTTCTTGCTTAACAAGCAGCAGTGATTCACTTAATGATGACAATTGAAAGTGCCAGACTTTTCATTGTTAGGCAGTATGATCACAGGACTAGACTTTATAACCACATGGTTTAGCCACAGACATTCTGGTTCCAATTACCATCCTTAAGTGAGAATTACTTGTAGTTGTAATAGTGTGAGACCTAAAAGTATAGACATAACTTGAAGTCTAAACAGTTAATCAGAGTTGAAAGATCAGGCCTTAAAGCAGACATGTCAAACTCGTGACGTCACATGACGTTGCACAACATATCGTGATGGCAATGGGGTGGGTGTGGCTTACGGATGACGCGTCTGGCCCGCAGGCCGGCAGTTTGACACCCCTGCTTTAAAGAATCATATTCTTCCCTGTTTAAACAGCAGCATCCTTTAGGAATCAAATACATTTTTAAAGGTGCTTTTATCCACCTTAAAGCCCATGAATGTGATCTGACCAGAAGCCACATAATTTCCACTTGGAGAAACTGTGACACAGGAGACATTGTTGGTGTGACCATGTAAAAAATCTTGACCCGGGGTGTTTATGCTTTGGATAATTACTGTACAACCCAATGGATAGATAAGATGCTCTCGATCTGGATGGCAGATGAGGCCAAAGGGAACATGTCCTGAAGACAAAAGAAATACAATGATTATTTTGTTACTAGAGGTAGAACAGCCCACATTTATATACTACTGAAACTCTTGTGTCTGTAATCTTTAATTGGGCAAAATGGTGCATCATAGGACAGAACAATTCCATCCAAGGTATCCAAAGTAGGCTAACTTACAGAATCTGGGACCCATGATTCTTGTAGAACTGAAATTTGGCAATTTTTATAAAACATTTTATGATGCAAATGTAAGCATTTGTGACATAATACAAAATGATTTTAAAAATTGTGTGGTCAAGTTCTGATGTTTGAATACAGTATAATTCAACATGGGCTATATATTAGTGCTCTGTCATTGCTGAAGAATCATTGAGAATTTAGTAAGGAAATATTTTTGAAATGATGATCCAACAGATCACAGGTTGTCTAGTTACATGCTATAGTCAGCAATAATCAGATAAAACTTTTGGAAACTGAAAGTGGTTTCCCACTTAGGAGCAGCAAAAGATTTATTCTTGCAATTCATCAGGATACTTTACTGCTCTCCATTTTTTTATCAGTCCTCTTCAATTATTTGCTAATGCTGTCTGTCTTTTGATACTTTGATCCTAATCCATTCTGCTGTCTTTTATTCAAACATTAGAGAATAATAATACTGTGCTTAAATCGTGTCTTTCCTTTAACCTTCTGGAAGCAAGGTAATATCATTAAAACAATTCATTTCTTAAGAATCAAAATCATAGCAAGTATGAGAATAATCACAGGGACAATGGCCATTAATTGAAAGAGACACTCAGATTTGGCTTGTTTTGAACTATAGTCAAGGTAAACTTTATAGTCCTGCTCTTTATAGCCCCGTATCAAACTGAAACTCTGATTTCTCAATCCTTCCCTCTGTAACCGAATACAAACTACTTAATGCACAGATAGTTATGTTAGATTATGTCCATGGAGTCCTTCTCTGGTACAGCCTGAAAAACAGTTTGGATTATAATTACAGCCCACCAATGCAATATGCGAATATCGAAGAGGGAACACTTGAGCATGGGCAGAATTCTTTTGCTTTATGCCGGACAATTACAGAGATCAACTTTCAGAAGATCGAGGCGGAGTTCCTAGCGACCAGAATGGGAGGGGGCTTTTCTCACAGCAAGGAAATACCGTGACTTCCCTGGTTGCCATCCCGATCTTTCCCTCTCTGCCCCCGGTACCATTGAAGCCAATGATCGCCTGAAGCTGAAGGCCCTCCAACTCGTCCGCCGACTCCGCTTTTTCTTTCGGGACAGTCGCCATGTCACCGCCGGCACTTAACACTGGCTTAGCGGTTGTATATACCGGTCGCTATGGAAACCGCGCAGGCCCAGAGGAGGCGTGACTCTCGGAGATGCTCTGGAACCCGTGATGGAAGGGGCGGCGCCTCTGTCGTTTCTCGGCTGCAGAAGGAGCACAGAATAGGTGGGATTGGGTAGAATTTGAGAGCGGTGTTCCTGCATTTTTCCAGCCTCTTTGTAAATGAAGCGGAACCTTATGTTGCGCTATTTTCATTGTAAAGACCCTAAAGCCCAGCTCCAGAGTCTTAGGATGGGTGCCCGATACCCAGAAGCACTTACTGGCTTCCAACCTCATTTTAGATCGCACCCTATGACTATGTCAACCCAGCCACCAGGCTGTTTCTAGGTTGTATATGTTATGAGGGGTCCTTGGTGTTCTCTGAGCTTGGTTGCTTTCTTGTAGACGTTTTGTTACCGAAATACCAGTGCTAGTGTGTTTTACAGACGTGATTTAGCTATATGATCATTGCCCTAAATTACCTTCACACGTTCCACTAAGCCATAATTTACTTACTTTTATTTCATTGGGTAAACCAGAATTGGGATTATGTTAAAATACTAAACCAGAATCATTTAACATTAAACCAGAATCAAAGCAATCCTTAGGGGTTAAGGCAGATTGTGGACCATCTGTGGTACAAAACCAGTTTGCTTCTTTATGGTTTATCTCACAAACATTTTATTACGTGTTTTATTGGATTTAGAGATAGTCCAACTCCCAACAACTCTGGCAGCTTACATTTCAAAAGTGGGAAACAATAAAATGAAAAAAAAGGGAATTTACATTTGGAAAACAAAACTAACAGTCTCTTCAGTTAGCCTAAGAGCTAAGCCAGGTTTTCAAATACTTCCATAACAGCTGCCTGGTGGGAGCTCCTGATCTTCCAGCCTGATGCTGTTCTAGAAGGCAATGGAGAAATTCCTGAATCCTAATAACATCATTCTAGCCATTTTTAACTACTGCAGGATGAAAACCTCTTCCGCATGTTTCCAACCAATATAGTCCTGAGCTTTCTTTTGCCTATTAGGCTTGCAATACTTGCTGATGTTGTCAATCCATCTTGTTTTAGGTCTCTTTCGTGGACATTTTTTACCAAGTGGGATCCATTCCATGACTGCCTTGGTCCACCTGTCATCAATTGTTCTTGTAACCAGCTCATTTCCATTTCAGTTCTTTTACTCTCTTGATGATATTGTATACTTTCGTTTGTTCTCTAATCCATGTGCAGGTCTTTCTATCTTGTCTTGTAATGCCACACATGTATCTTTCCATGGCTCTTTGCACCACTCAAAGCTTGTACTGATTGTAAGGTTAGTGTCCATGTTTTACCAGCATATGTTAGAGCAGGTAACACACACTGATCGAAACCTTTTCAGACATAGGGAAAGGTTGTTCTTGAAAATTACACTTAGCTTGCCAAATGCCTGTCAAGCACATTTAACATGCCATTCAGTTTCCTTTATTGTATGACTTTTCATTGAGATCCATTGGCCAAGGTATATGTAGTTAGTTCATCTCCTAATATATGGCATTGTTTAATTGAAGACCATGCACTTGACCCAATCATATTGGATGGGCAGAAGAATCTGATGGAGATAGACAGTCCCTCAAATAATCAGGACCAAAGTACTCTCTAGGTCAGGGGTGTCAAACTGCCAGCTTGCGGGCCAGACGTGTCATCCCAAAACTGCGCCCATCCCATTGCCGGCAATGGAGAAAAAGCTCCAATACGTCGTGCGATGTCACATGACATCGCGAGTTTGATATGCCTGCTTTAGGTGAACTGCATCCATAAGCTACTAACAGTTAGAGGGACTCACAAAGCAGCAGGGACCCACGGGCATAGCATGGCACACTCATTGCAGCCATTTTATTGTATTCTAGACCACCTGTAGCTTCTTAATGGTCTTCAAGAGCAGTTCCAATTACAGTTGATATTGCACACCCATACAAAGACATAAGCATGGTTTACAAGCTACAGCTAAACCAGAACCATAAACAATTAATGTATTTATTTTATATATTAAATTTATTTGCCGTCCATCTCATTTCAAATTACTGATGGCTTACAGCATAATAAACATTAAAAACATTAAAATCATTGAATATAAAATGACAGAACAGACAAAGTAAGTTCATTACATTATAGTGATTATGAAATCATTATAATGATCTTAAAGGGACAAACGCAAGAGAAATTTCTTGCTGTTTGGGATAAATGGATAAAATTCATACAATTTAAATTTGATATAAAAATATTATATAGTTTTTTCATAATTTTTAACTTTATATATATATATATATATTCTATTTTATATTCTTTTTTATAATTTTTTTTAACTTTTTCTTTAATTAAGCCTATATTCTGCTCTGGGAGGTCCTGGGGGGGGAAGGGGGGGTTTGGGTAGGGGCGGGGGAAGGGGGGTTTTGTTGGGTAATGTTTGTTTTTTATTTGTATATGTTGTTTTTTGTTTTTGTATTGTTTTTTATTTTTTGTAAAATTTATAAAACTCTTTAATAAAAAAAAAGAAATCATTATAATGAATGAAATCATATTATAAAATCATTATGTTATCAATACATTATATTTAAGAACAATCATTACTCAAACATAGATGTTTTGTATGGAAATAGGGGTGGTGAATCTCTGGCTTGCTAGAAGCTATTCTTAAAGGAAAGCAGCTTGACCATTTGTCTTCCAGCAATGCTAGTTCTATGGCTCCTAGAATTATCAGCCAGTATGACCAAATGCACTGAGTTAAGGAAAATTAACTTATTTTTTTAGTTATTATATTCAATTTGGATACCACCTGATTCCACGTTGCTCTGGGTGGTTCACAAAAAAGAGAGTGCATAAATACAAAATAATAAAAAAAAATGAACCAGAACAAATATAAAAGTAACTACGCAGTCATGATGGCAATTCAAACAACAAAGCAGGCATAAAACATCACAAATAGGGTAATCAAATTCACCCTGTTGCAAGCCCAGAGGAAATAGCCAGATTTTCTAGAATGCCATCAGGGTGGGAGACATTTTGTTTTTCCCAGAATCAGCTATAACCATTATTCTGCATTAAGCAGCCAAAGTTCTACAAGTTAAACCTTGAATCAGACCCTGAACTGTCCTGTCCACCTTTATTTAGCAGTATTAATAATAACACTTGCATTGCTGTTAGAATCTTCTTCTCTTCTCCTGTTCAGTTGGCTACAATCTTAGTATACTTTGATAAACTATTGAAATGACCTCTCTATTACAATAGTAAGCACAGAGATACATGCAGTTTAATACTTAACCTAAAAGAATATGTGGGAAGTCCCCGCCCCCAAGAAAGAAATATTTTTGGGAATATTAAAAGGCAGAATATTATTTCCCCAAAGTATCTTAAAGGCAGAAACTACCCCCCCCCCTGTTTCTCTGCCCCAAACAGAAACCAGGTCTGCAGAAATGCAGATGTGATAATCTTGTCAGAAAGATTGGAGCCAGGAAGCTTGGTTTAGAAAGAAAAGAATCAACAATCCCTCACACCAAAATAATCCAACACAGGACATAGTCATCAGCCACAGCCCCAGGAAAGTAGGATATGACCTTTGGGACATAATAGGATTAACCCACCACCATCAGAATACCAGAAAGGCACTCTCAGTCTCAGGTCAAAGTTCATGCCACAGGAACAACTCCAAACAAAATCTCAAGAAGGTATAAAAACCCACCACTCCCTACTACATGTGGTCAGCTTTCCCAGAGCCATCTTTCTGTCTGGCTCTCCCCTTCAATAAACTAAAACCTCCTTTCTAAAGCAGTCTCTATTTTGATTATTCCCAGCTTGAACTGGACCCTGATGAAGATTTTTCTTTCAACAATTGTATCACCTATTTTTACAGTATAAACATAAACTTCCACAGCAGCAACTGGACTGAGCCATTCTGAATTTTCTTCCTGAAAGCAGATAGACAATGAGGGAAATAAAATAGAAGCTGTTCATTAGCCATTCTTGCTAATTCATTGCTGGTCTTAGCTGTTTGTCTTCAAAAGGAATTTCTGTTCTGTTGCTTCCTTTTACTGTAATCCCCCCCCAAATATTTAGCATGTTATTTCAAAAGTTATTCTGTGCTTTTCTAGCTGGCTAGGCATACAACCCTTTTAAATGAGTTCACCATTTGTCTCGGGCTCCAGAGGTCACTTAGAGAACCTCTGGAGCAGGATTTCCCTGATCAATGCCATGAGCTCCTACCTAATGCACCTTAGGACTTTGGGGCCTGCTGAAGCTTCTGAGGCTTGCTATATCGATCAAGCTCTAAATAGACCACCTTGGTCAAGCTGCTGTTTTCTCCATATTTTTAGCAATCTTCTCCAAGAGGGAGGTCAGGATAAACTGTTCATAGGGGCTTCATGCAGTTTTATCAAAGGGTCGCTAATGGGAACTTAGAAGGTAGCAAAGCACTTTGCTGGGCTCTTAACTGTACTTAACAGTCAGGAGCATATTCTATTCACATGACAATAAGCAATCATATGGAAGGAACGATTTGCTCTGAATCACTGTATGCTGTATCTTTGCTCTCTTTTTCTTTCTCTCCTGCTTCCATTCAACTCCCCTCCCTTCCTCCTAGCAACAATGGGAAAGAGAATCAAATCCTCCTGATTTGGCTGTCCTACTTTTGGATAAACTGCCACTTCTTGCGTTTCCTAAGGCAGGGCAGACCTCCATTTGTGCTATCTTTGTTAAATGCTGGCATGTGCCTGTGCCCTACTTTATGAAGCATTTGGACCTGTTTAAATGACGAGAACATCTTTGCCTCAGGAATCTCTGCATGCTTTGAAGAAACTGAAATTCTCATCTCTTCCGTGACCAGGCCTTGGAACTATTAATATGAGTTGATGTCTTGATCAATTGATGAATCATTCAAAGTGACATTGGAGGCTAACTGGGCAGGACTCTGTTTCCCCTGTTTAGTTCCTCTGCTTGTCAAATGAGCATAAGAAACTTGGTTTGCTTTGTCAGAGCAAATGGTTTTGAAATGCAACAGACCCAAAGAAAGCATAATATTGTTCCTTTCATCCATGATTTGTTTTGTTAGCGTTGATGCCAAGGAAAGAAAGTCATAAAATAACAGTAGTGAGTGGCAACTGACAGCAACAGGTGGTTATATTTACTGACAAAAAGGAAATTACAGAGGGACATTTGGTATATGTTTTGAGAGCCACTTTAGTCTAGTGGTTCAAGCACTAGGCTAGAAACCAGGAGATTGTGAGTTCTAGTCCTGCTATAGGCCTGAAGCCAGCTGAGTGATCTTGGGCCAGTCCTTCTCTCTCAGCCTTAGAAAGGAGGCAATGGCAAATGAAATTTTTCTGAGAAAAATTGCAGGAACTTCTGCAGGCAAATGGCAGGAGTGTAGAAAGAAAAGGAGAAGAAGAAGGAGAGATAAAGTGGTAATCATTACATGGAAGGGGAGAGACAAATAGTACCCCCTCCCCACAAATAAGGCATTGGAGCTGACATTGCTTAGATTTCTTACCTATTCAGGAGTTGTCCCAACCTATCTAAGCTCGGTGCACACTGAGTTAACAGAAGATGTTGCTATTATCATTATTTTAATTTAGAAAATGTTTTCTGAACATTCCCAAAATACAATCTTGCTTCTTCCAAAATCACTAATCAGCCAGCCTACAGAAGGGGCCAATACTGTGCATTTAGAAAGATCCATATAGCACTCATTGTCAAGACTAAGGCCATTTAGGGCTTCCCCCATATCTCTAAGTTAAGGTGCCCACCCATCCTTGTGTCAGCATGAAACAATGGCACCCATTAAATTTGTTGTCTGTGTTACCAATCCCTAGCCTATTTCTATTGCTTCTGTTCTAAGTCACTGAATATTTTTACCCTTATCTGATCCTTATTGCTACAGGCATGCTAAAAGATCTTTCCTTCTGGTTTTGCTTCCATCTCTTTTGAGCATTTTTACAGCAAGAATGGCAGCCTTCTAAGTTATAGCCAGAGGAGTGGAATCTCACTTCAGGACTCTCCCTTGGCTGGAGGCAGTCGGGTGTGTGTGTGTGTGTGTGTGTGCGCGCATCCTGCCGAATTGGTGTGTGGATTCCAGCTGCTGTTCCCTGCATGCTGATCAGGTGTTTGGCAGTCAGCAGCAGCACAAAAGTGATGGAGGAAAAAATATGTTCCTTCAAGTCAGTTTTGACTCCTGACAATTTCCCACTGCACTTTTCTCAGCAGCATTTTTCAGAAGTGGCTTACCAGCTCCTACTTCCTGGGGTTGAGAAGAAGTGACAAGCCCAAGATCAGCAAACTGGCTTTGTGACCAATGCAGGAATAGAAATTTCATCTCCTGGTTTCTAGCCTTGGCTTTAACCACTACACCAAAGTAGCTTTCAGCAGTGAAGAGCTGTGTTTGTGTATGTGTTAAAAAATGATCCATCCCAGATATCAAATACGTTAGGTATGCCACTGATTCTACCTATGTTCCTTAGGTTGGTTTGACTGCCTTTCTTCCCATGCTCTGTCTGGATAACTGCAAACCTAAAATAATGTGAAATCATGAAATATCTGGAAAGACACCAGAGCAGATCTGGCCTTAGAGAGGAAGGAAGCAGATTCTACCATGCTGAATCAGTGAATTAGGTCTTGACTAACTAGGTATTAGATAGTTAGTCCCTTATTTCAAGGGATGGGGTGATAGTGGATTAAAAGTGACAGAGAAAAAGGCAAATATACAATAAACACAATTTTTAATATGACAGAACAATAATTAAATACATGGAAAAATTATAAGCATTAATTTCATTGTCTTTGTTCTGGCCACATTCTTTAGACCAGTACATAGAATGATACTCAAAAGGCCAAGTTAAACCTCTCAGCCCAAAATATTCCTGACTTAAATAGCAGAAGTGTTCCCACAGCACACTTAAGCTGTCACTTAAAGATTTATTGGCTGCCTTTGCATAATATGCCAAAATTGGTAATGTTCATCTTGATGTCAGTGGAAACTCAGAAAATGGGTTAATTCAATAACTAAAATGTGCCCATTATGTGAACACATGAATTGAATTTCTGCTCTGTTGTTCTGCAATATAATGATCTTTGTCATCTTTCTGCTCAAGGATGACCATGTTGAGATCATGGCCACTTAGAGAATGTACAGAAATGGATGTTTTATTCAGATATTGTCTTGGAGCTCTTCTCTAGACCATATTAATGGATTTCCTTTTTTATATAGTTATCACTAGATTAAAGTCATACAACAATGAAGCCTTCATGGCCTTAGTGATGATTAGGCAGACTGCATCATTATTAAAGTGTAGTTCATTTTCTCCTTTTCTGAAAATGTCACCTTGGGATGTATTGATCAGTTATGTACTCGGTAAATGGCAGAGGAAGCACAAGAACATGAACTACAATTTGAAAAATACAAATAGACAGCAAACAAATCTTTCAGGGATAAAACAAACAAATAAATGAACAGGAAAGATTCTTGTAACTGCTGGAAGATTAAGCAATTTATTATGGAATAAACTTTCATGGTCTAGAATTGACTTTTCCTCTGTACCATATTCAGTTTATGATGCACAAAGTACTGTTTTATTGGATAGACTCTAAAGCTTATTGTATGTCATGTACCTCAACAGTCAACACGTTCTGTGCATTTACTTGGATAGTTGTGTATACACTGCTACTATATTTTGAATACCAGTGATGTTTGCATATGTCAGATGGCAGGCATGCTATATGACTCTTTCCTTTAAATGCACATCTTTGATGACAAGAGCCATGTTTGTTCAGCAACATTTATTCATCGCTGAAAGGAAACTGAAATATGAAATGACTGGCAGACTTAAAGGCCAAAGACAATTTTATTTTCTTTCATCTTTAAAGCAGGTGAATAGGGCAGACAGGCTGTGCTATATGTATCTCTAATGTAAAAGCATTAACTCATGAAAGGAAAGTTATATTCTTTTTTTTACAGGAAATCTTTTACTGACATTTCTTAATGTAGTGCATGCCAGATGCGATGCTCAGGGGCCATACTGATAAAAGCATGTAGTCTAAAAATAGCCCATTCAGTTGGATGTCTTAGTTCCTTTGTAAGAAGTTCTCTAGCACCTTGAAGGCATTCTGAAGTCTTGCTGTGACAATTGGGATAAGATCTTAACTCGTCCGCTTGAGTGTAAAGCACAGATTCTGGGTTACACAGGTGTGCAGAACAAGTTCATTAAAAGGCACATATCATAATAATGTCACTGTACCTTATTTCCTAGGGCCACTTTACACCCAGTGCAAAAATGAACCCTTGAGGAAATATTGGAAATGTTCTAATAATGTTCCCATTGCTAGAATTGTACTGCAGTACTCAAGTGATTTCAAGTTTGTTTGTTTTGCCAGTAAAGGAGATGGAAACAAAACTAAAATCAACTAATTCTGTTGGTCTCCCTTTCCTTTATTCTGTTAGTCCCAATGAGCACCAGTTGCCAAAGTACAGGTTATCTTGGTACTGTTCTGCCAATTTTATATCTAAATTGAGCTCTTCTTTAGTTCTCTCATGGGACCATTTCTGCACATACGAGGGCAATTTGGAAATAAACCTCCATTTGATTATCAATGACAGACACTCACAGATACAGAATTTTTATTATACACATTAGAAAACTACAACATTACATTACTTTTTGACATAATCGCCATTCAAATTCAGGCACTTGTCATAATGTCTTACAAGGTTTGAAAATTCCTTAATAGTAGTCACTCAGCGCCAAATCTGGGCTATGGTGTATGTGTGATTAAAAACTTCCAACTAAACAGCTTTAAAAGTTCTTGGATGCGTCCAGCGGTGTGCGGGCAAGCATTATCATGAACCAACACCACACCGGAAGTCAACATGCCCCAATGCTTGTTACAGATAGCTTATCTGAGTTTTCGTAATGTTTCACAGTAGACTTCTGAACTGATGGTCAAACCATGCTCCGTGAACTTCACTAGCAGTACGCCTTTGGTTTCTTCACATTTTGTGGGATTTTCTATGGCATCACTTCCGGCGTGGTATTGGTTCACGATAATTTCAAACTTTGTGAGAGATTAGGATAAGTGCCTCAATTTGAATGGCGATTATGTCAAAAAGTAATGTAACGTTGTAGTTTTCTAATGTGTATAATAAAAGTTCTGTATCTGCGAGTATCTGTCATCGATAACCAAATGGAAGTTTATTTCCGAATTGCCCTTGTACCAATCACATATTAACATTCTTGGATAATCCCTGGCTTCATGTGTTTCATTTAATAAGCAGAATAAGCAGGCATATGATCGATGGGAATTCCATATTTTTTTTCAAAATTAATCCTTTCAAAAGTCCAAGCAGAACAGTTATAGGTAAATATACATCATCTAATATATTTTGTTATGCTCCAGAAATTCTGGCCAAAAGGACTGTACTAATGGGCAACCACCCAAAATACTTAAAGATCTTTTCCTGCTGCTTAGATGTCCATCTTTCAGTCATCACCTGATGACATGCAGTGCTTTGGAGAGGAATCTCAGTAAAAATTGTCCATCGTATGGAGAAAAAGGAAGTTCAAGAGTTTTGAAATCCCCAAACTTCTAGTAGCTGGACCTGGAAGTTTTGCTGGCAGAGAGGAGGGTTGTCAAATGTTTCACAGCGTTCTGTTCTTCCATGATTCAGATTAGCATCAATATATAGAGCCTGGCCTCCACCTCCCCCTAGAAAAAAATCAACATGATTAGTTAAGAAATGTTTCTCACCATCTTACGGAACAGAGTTTCAGATACTGCCCCTGGTCTCTTTTCCTGTTACTTGCATCTAGCAGTTTCTGACTTGAATTGAAGATGGATACGTTGTTATATTAGACATGACACAGTTTTTATATCATCATGGAAAATGATGACTTTGAAGACTTATGAAAAATGTCTAAAAATGATGATTTTTAGAGACATAAATGGTATAAATGGGTATGTCTAGTCTAATGAAAAGAAGGACCAAGGGGGGCGGGGACATGATAGCACTATTCCAATATTTGAGGGGCTCCTATAAAGACAAGGGGGTCAAACTATTTTCCAAAGCATCAAAAGGCAAGACAAGAAACAATGGTTGAAAACTAACCAAGGACAGAAGCAACCTAGAACTAAGGAGAAATTTCCTAATGGTGAGAGCAATTAACCAGTGGAATAGTTTGCCTTCAGAAGTTGTGGGTGCTCCATTACTGAAGGCTTTCAAAAAAAGACTGGAGACTTATGTGCCCTAAATGATATAGGATCTCCTGCTCGAGCAGGGAGTTGAACTAGAAGACCTCTAATGTCCCTTCCAACTCTATTATTTTACTTCTATGTTTTATCTTTGCTAATATGGCCATGTACTGTTGTCTCCTTGTGGCTTTCATGAATAGCACAGTATTCTCTGGCTGTATATGCTGCAGAACAAGCTGATCAATGACCACCTGTATTACCTCATCAATAAGCACAAAATTCTTGTGTAGATCAGGGCTTATTCTGCAAGGTACATAATAGGTTTATTTGATGAATATAAGCCACCAAGGTTTATTATTCCATCCATACTAGGTAGTGTGTGTGTGTGTGTTGTCTTCTATTTCTTAGATTTTGCCTGATATCAGTGAACAACATCTCCATGCTTTGGTTAAGGATTTCAGCTAATTAAAATCCTTAACACAATAAACAATCCCTCTCCTCTTATATATCTGTAATTATGTATAGTTATCTATGAACCATCTTTCTGTGAAGAATTCACCAACAAATCAAAATAAATAAAAACAAAGCAATTTATATAATTGAAAATTTTAAAACAATGGTCGAACTGCAAAGGTTTTTAAAAGTTGTTTGAAAATGACTTTTAAAACTCAAGAGATGTAGCTATCTTTTGCAATTAGGGACAGTAGTATTCATAACAAACAACAACTTGGCAGGTTCATCAAAGCTAACTAAATCATATTGTGGCTTAATATGACATAAGAACACAACCTAGGGGGATTGCAAGAGAATGAGATGCTCTTGTAAGCACCAATATCTTTCAGGCATATTCTGCATATAACTGAACCGGTTCCAACAGATGCTCTGTAGTTAGCCAGATCCAGGGACATTTGGAACTTTAAAACCTAGAGCCAGTTAATGAATTGAACTTATGAAATAATTGATCTTTTCTACTGTTAATTCTCACTGAATTTTCTATTTGAAAATTCAGATTTTATGTGGCTTGAAATCAACCTTTTTCATGTGACCACCATTTATAATGACCCTACCATAAGCATCAATTTCACATCATGATGTAGCACTCAGCAAGTGTTTCACCTTCCTCTCCTTGAGCTGACTTGTGCTGTCTCCATCCAGCAATTATTTCCTTCTTAGCTACTCCCTTGCCACAGTTACTTTTCACAGCAAAAAAACAAACAAAAACAAAACAAAACCAGACAGGCTGTTGAACAAGAGGCAGCATGGCAAAGCCAGCTCTTGGTGAAAGTGCAGGAGAGAGCAGGTAAAGTATGGTGGCACATTGTCATTCACCAAGAAAGAGAATCCTAAGTGCTGCAAGGTGAGACAAGGTGCAAGGTGGGAGTTCCAGCCAATAAGAAATCATGAAGCACCTAAAAAAAACCCCAACACCTTGCCTTATTTCCTCTGGAGCAGGAGAGACAGGCTTAGCTTTCCAACCCCAGAGAACATTTGTACTGCTCTCCTTTATGGGAAATGTCTTAGTTTGCTTTCACTTCCTCTAATGCTGAATTCAGGTAGAGTCTGCTGGCAAATTTATAAGCAAAGATGAGAGTAGGAGAAAATTTTTAGAAATATTTAAAATAACCAGAATTCAGACAAGTAACTCACAATATTAGCTATGTTTAGATTTTGAGACAGACAAGCTGGTTCAACATTAGATGAAGAGGAGTAGGTGGAAGCAAAAACTAGGAGCTAGAAGGAAAAAACAAGGCCAGGCATGTGTGATATTGTGGAGGAGTGAGAAAAGTAGTCAAGAGCAAGGCACACAGAGGAGACAGGTGTATTTGTAAGTGACAGATTAAGGAAGAAAGAAAAGAGAAAACAAGGTGAAAAAAAGCAAATGTAGCAATACTTCTGGAACAAAGGGTTTTATTGCAAGTCCCACTTGTTAGGATGTTGAGAGGAGGATGGTGATATTGATGATGATGATAATGATAGTCATGATGGTCATCATGGTCATCATGATGATGATATAACTGGTTCTATATGAACATTTCTCCTTCATATGTTTTGGTAGGACAACCTTGCCAAAAGTTCCTCATGATCTTTTACCGTATTGACTTTCTCCTATACGTCCTTTTCCTATCCCAAAATATACTGTAGGTTGTGATCATCCCAGTTCAGCTGTGGTTGAATTTATTAGTTAAATAAGCAGCACCAAAATAACATTTGATTTGAGGATTAGGGGCAGGGGGTGCCAGAAATGTGTATAGTGCTTAGATCTACAGATTATCCGCAAGGTTTGTTTGCATAATTACCTATGATGATTCCTTCCTGGCTTCCAGACATAAACATGGAAGCTGTTTTGGAGGACAACCTGAAGTGTCTAATTGCCAGGAAGGGAGAGAGACGGTATTTAATTGTTTCTAGCTTTGGTACAGTGAGGTGATTTGAGCTGGTTGTTTTGTGACTCTCCAAAGAAAAGGGAGATGGAGAACGCTGGCGTTGGGAACAAGGTAGAGCTTTAGCTTGTTCTGGCTTCTTGATGAAGACCCATTCATATCGCTCCATTTTAGGATGCACCTTTTAAGAAAAGACAATATCAATCAGGGATATTTTGGAACTCACCACCCAGAATAAACAGGCATTTTCCTCCTCCCGCCCCGGGGATCCAGAGTTTTGATGTAGTTTTGGGGAGGAGGGTTAAAACAGCCCTATCTTCTCCTTAATTGGAGTGTTTGTCCCACAAAACAGAACTGAAATCTGACAAGGGCACAAAGGTACAGTAGCTAAAAAGAAATCAAACCAGAAAGACATCAGAGAAATGGGAAAGAGAAGCCTTGAACACAAAGTAGAGCACCATAGCAATAGTCTTCAAGCAAAAGAAAACTGCAATTCTTGGCCCTGCAAAATCAGCTAAAAAGCGAAGGAGGAAAAGAGCCTGACCAGCGTCTACAAACCCAAGCAAGCCTACAAACCAGGTCCAGAAAGAGAGGACTGTAGGCACTGGAGGAAGAGAAAAGCCCATAACAAAATCTATGGAGAGAAAAGGGTTTTCACATGCAAGGGACTGAGGCTGGCTACAAGAACTGAAGACCTGGGGAAAAGAAAATATTTAAAGAAATAACTGGACTTTCTTATTTTCTTTGAAGACATTTCGCTTCTCATCCAAGAAGCTTCTTCAGCTCTTCAGAGAAAAGGGAGAATCTCCACAGACATTTAAATAAATAATTAAGGTTGGGAAACATAGTGCTACAAACATAGAAGTAGGAACATCAACATAGAACCTAGAGATACGAATGTATAAATTAGGATAAAATCATTGTAAATTGTAATGGGAACCTGTAGCTTCAGAAAGGTGGGAAACTATAAACACGCATACAGTTAGCATTAAGGTTACAAGTAAGGAAAGGAGTTTAATTTTGTACAATAAAGCAGTTTTTGTAGAGATAGTCCTAACTGTGAAAAATTGGTACATTTAGCAAGGACTGCACAGGAATAGGAAACTCTAAAGCAGAGATGCATAGGCTGCAAGTTGCACTTAACTCCCTGATGTTACACAACCACGTTGGTGGCATACTATGGCATGATTTCAGGTTATCAAATATATAAAGTAATATATTTTATTTTATCCAACCTTGCACCACTGTTATATCCCATATGGCCTTGCTGCTGAAAACACCATTGAAAAATATTGTTCTCCTGTTTTGTCAAGACCTGACCTCTTCATGCAACAGATTTTGGTTAAGATCTTGATATCAGCAAATGGCTAGTGAGACTTTGGCAGAAAAGTGGCTCTTTAGGTAGATGAAGAGGACTCTTTTCCAGAAAGAAGAGGGTATAGGTCAGATAAAAAACAGAATTGCTTTTCCCCCTTTATACTTGTATTTAGTTACAATTTTAGTAAACATTTAAGTTTTGGCATAAGCTGATCAGAAGGGCTTGATTCAAGGTTGGAACCTTAATATGTTGTGAGGAGAAAGAATAATCAGATATTGTGGATTTGGGAGAATCAAGTAGGTTAATAGCTAGTGGAGTGGGCCAAGCAATTTCTATATATGTAGAGAGGCTATGCAATATGTATCATGCTGCACTTCACTAGAGGTGACTGTGGAAAAACATCCTATGAAGTAATATTGGTTGGAAGAAAAGCCTCACATCTTTTGAGAGGGCATTCAGGGACATAGTTTTATTTTGGAATAATGAGACAGTTTTCATTCTTTGCAGATGTAGGACTCACCTGAAGCCCCCAAATACATATAAGCTCTATTTTCTAATTTTCATCGTACCTTTAGGGTGGAAGGTTATACTGATGGTCAGATTTAAATCAGAGTGACCAATGCATATAAGGAACTGAAAGAAAGTACTTATAAAACCGATATATTCTCCATCATGGAGCCCTGGTGACACAGTAGTTAGAATATAGTATTGCAGACAAACTCTGCCCATAGCCTGGAGTTTGATCTGACGGGCTCAAGGTTGACTCAACCTTCCATCCTTTTGAGATCGACAAAATGAGGAGCCAGATTGTTGGGAGGCAATATATGCTGACTGTATAAACTCCTTAAGAGAGTGCTGTGATGCACTATGGCGCAGTATACTACATGCTTTACTATTGCTATGGAAGTAAGTTAAACTTACTGTAAAAATAAAGCATTCTCCTGTGCCAAAGAAGCTTGTTGTTCCTCCCCATTTTTTCCTTTCATTCCAGTCAGAGGAAAGAAATGCTCCACATACCTGAATGGGAGTAAGATGTGAGCAACTGCATAAGGTTTCCTGATTATCAAAAAGTCTCAAGAAAATGTATGATCACAGAAGACCACTTACACTCTTACTGTATTCAAACCATCCAGTGAAGAAAAAAATGGGGTTACCAAGTAATGTGGAGATGTAGCTTAAAAACACGTTGTTATAATCTTCCACTAACTTTATGAGGGCACCTGGAGCACAACATTAGGGACGAGGCTCTAGTATCCCCTTTTGATGTGTATACACGTTTAGGGAGCAGTTTTGAATTAGTTAATCCACTGACGTTTTGCTTCATAAATACCCTGTGCTTCCAGTGTGACTAATGTAGTAACGAAATACATACAATTCCAGGCAGCAAAGGCTAAAAAACAATCAGTAAAATGCATAACCAAAGATTAGAAATAGCCAAGTAGTTAAAGATAGAAGCAAGAAATAACGCTGGAGTCTTGGGAACCAAAATCAGATCTTTCTCTGGCATCTAAAAAGATGAGGGGGAAGTTCATTCTCTGAGCTTGTGAGTTGTTTTCCGAACATTTCAATACCAGGCTAGCTAATATCTTCAGTGGAGATGAAGATCCTCACTTGATGTGACTCCTCACAAGACTCTCACCTGATGTAACCTTCCCATCACAAGACCGATTGACCACACAAAGCCTTTAAAAGCAGAAAAACACTGACACTGAATCCTCTAAAATAATAATAATAATAATAATAATAATAATAATAATAATAATAATAATAATAATAATAATAATAATAAAGTTGGAAGGGACCTTGGAGGTCATCTGGTCCAATCCCCTGCTCAGGCAGGAAACACTATACCATTTCAGACAAATGGCTGTCCAGTCTCTTCTTAAAAACTTCCAGTGTTGAAGCATTCACCACCTCTGGAGGCAGGTTGTTCCACTGGTTAATTGTTCTAACTGTCAGGAAGTTTCTCCTTAGTTCTAGGTTGCTTCTCTCCTTGATTAGTTTCCATCTGTTGCTTCTTGTCCTGCCTTCAAGTGCCTTGGAGAATAGCTTGACTCTGTCTTCTTTGTGGCAGCCCCTGAGATATTGGAACACTGCTATCATGTCCCCCCTGGTCCTTCTCTTCATTAAACTAGACATACCCAATTCCAGCAACTGTTCCTTATATGCTTTAGCCTCCAGTCCCCTAATCATCTTTGTTGCTGTTCTCTGTACTCTTTCTAGAGTCTCAGATGTTACCTAGCCTGGTAACACAACATTTGGAAGCCAACCCATAAGCTTGGAGAACAAACCACTACCCTCATCCTACATCCAAGCTAGAGATATTCACTACCATTGCAATCCAAGAGGATGTCAGGCAATGCTCACTGGAGAGAATGTTCAGAGATGAGGCTCTTTATATGAAATACGCTATTCTTAGTAACCCAGCATGATGTTCATCCTGTAAATTTAGGACCTGGAAGCAACTTAAAACTTGTCCAGGTGTTAACGCTTCTAAGTGTGTATTTGAGACTGAGATGTACACCTCTCCATATAAAGCTGTAAGCAAAAAGAAATGTGTGTCATATAAGAATTGCCTGCAATTTCCTTTTGAGTAGCTAGTGTTCACAGTTGGTGGCAAACTTGGTGAAACAGCCCTCTGAATGCTTCCCCTTCCTCCTTATCAGGTAGGAAATAGATACTCAATATACAAATTATTACCTTTGAAAGTGTCTCTGACAGGAACATATCTGTTCATTTGTTTGTATTGATTAAATGGTTCCGCCCCCATTCTTTTTTTTTTGGTAATTAATGTGATTTATTTTTGAAATAATCCTCAACAGACAGTCATATGTGAAAACTTCCTTGTCTTTCCTCCATCCTCCATTAGGCTCTCAGACATCTACTTACCTCCATCATCAGCATTCTTTAAAAAAAAAATATTCCTGATTTAATAAGACTGAGCATGTAGACATTTGAGAGAGTTGTGCATCCTTTTTACATAGAAGTAAAGGAATGCATGTTTGTGGTTTAAGCACAGAATTTTGTTTTTAGCCTAGAATACGCATGTTGCATATGACTTTGGATAGTTCCTGTTTTATTAGAGCCCCATAGATGGAAGATCCCACTAACCCAGAATTTTTTGAGACACTGTATACAGAACTAAATCACTTACTTCTCCCAGTGTGTTTTTTAACAACAGTAAAGTTGGCTCATAGCCTTCACAGCAGGAATAAAACCTGTAGGAAGAAAAAAAAAAAAAAAACTGGATGAAATGAATCCCCTGCTAATGGCTGGGAAAGCAATTCCTTGATGGCATTGAGATGAAGATGGCTTGAACAGTGGAGCATGTTATTCTTAGTTTTATTAATAAGCCTAGAGCAAGAAAAACAACAAGGTGGAAACCAGACAGACTCTGAAAAAGAAGTGATCTAGTTAACCTTGCATGTTTTACATTGTCTCGGATCCATGTACCTGTGGAAATGTACTCAGTAGAACAAATTCCATTTTTCATGCAGAGGATTTTCTGCTATAAATCTTCTAAATCTTCTAACCATTAGGAATGGGTGATGAAGATGATGAAACTTGCAGAGATGGCTAAATTAACTTCTTTGATCAGAGAAAAAAATAATACCTTTATGGCTGATTGGAAACTCTTTAAAGATTTTTGCATGAACAGGAAAAAAAAATGCACTTATGACCTGTGGTTTTGATGATTAGAAAAAAACTAGATAATAGAAAAAAGTGAGCTTTTTAAATAATCATCAAATAAGAGATAATTTTGTAATTGTACTTATATTGCTGCAAAGGATATCAAACACATCTTCCTATTTCTTTTTAACTTTTGTTTCTGCACATTCCTTCCTTCCTTCCTTCCTTACTTACTTCCTTCCTTCTTTCCTTCCTTCTTTCCTTCCCTCCCTCCCTCTTTATTTGTGTTCGTTTTTAATGTTCTTTTTTAAAATTTGTAATAACAATGTATAATTTTTTTCTATATCCTTTTTAAATATGCCATTTTTAAACTCCTTGTAGAGTCCTCAGAGCAATGATTTAAAGGATCAGGAAAAAGGGACATCTCTGCCAGGAGCGATGGAACAAAATGTAGAGAGTAAAAGAAGTGATCTTGAGGAAAATATGCAAGAACCTTAGACAAAGGAGCTGAGACATTATTTAAGTCCTGGGAAACAAGATAATATTTGGAAGTGGCTCAGGCTGATATCTCCCTAATTCACTGGAGTATAAGAAGGGGAAAGGGGGTAGTGCAGAACATTCAGGTTTACAAGATTCTGCTATTATAGCCAATCTCAACAAAGTATAGTTCTGGTCTTCCTATGGAGCTGATTTTCTAGTCTTGTCTACCTAGTAGGCTGACCCCGAAAGACACTAAATTGAATGTGAAGGTGCTGAGATGTTGGAAAGCACTGTTGATCCTTTCATTTATCTAAAAGCCTTATTACCGCTAGAGCTAAGCACTCCTTGTCTTCATTTCTGTCTCCTCTTTTAGGATAACAGGAGAGTTCCTCTTGCCCTGCACACCTCTTATCTTCTGCCCTTGAACTAAGCCTCGTGATGCTTTATAAAGTTTATATGATCACAGCTGGGACTAGCAAGTCAGTTGTTAAACAAAGCTGTCACTTAAATGATACTGCGACTGTTCCCTTTGAAGTTACTTAAGCTTTCTTTGCCTTACAGATCTGCATGGTCATACATGTGTGGACTGGTCACAAAGTTATTTTTTCATCACCATCATAAATGGTCACTAAATGAGAATCACCTGTATAAAACCTTTTCTTCTTTGGATTTCTAGAGCAATTTGTTCGAGCACCTCTTGTTTTGTGTTTGACATGACTACATAAAATGCCTGGAGGAGTAGCAGCTGGTAATGATTGTCAACAAGTCATTGTTATGTTAAATCCATAAAGGAAAAGTTAAACCATTCCTTCAGTCCCACCAGTATTCCTTTCTTTATTTAAAACTTTTATGTGGCCACCCAGTTCAACCAAGGTGATTTCCCCCCCCCCAAAAAAAAAGAAAGAAAGAAAAAGAAAAAATGTACCATTCCCCCCCCCCAAATCGTAATAAACAATAATGAGATAATGTTGTTCCATGTTGTATAATAACTGCAAAGTGGACTTTTGGAAGCCATAATTTCTGCTCAGTGAAGCAGGTAATTGCTCACATAAAACCTGAATGCATCATAATCTCCATGGCACATGCAGGATCCTGACACAGATTCCTGGGTTTGAAATCAGACAGCTTAACTGTGGTTGTAAAACAAGTGATAATTTTAATAGGTGCACCTTGACTATCAGATGCTCCAAGCTATAATATTCACACCATTAAGGATGTCTAGTCAGATTCATCTTTTGAGAGGGTGTGAGGTTTTCACACCCCTCCCAACATTATCCTTAAGCTGTTCTTATTCTATTGTTGCTAAAGTACTTCCCCAACATTCATGGATTTCTAAATATTTCCCTTCTATTTTGAAAATATGTATAAGGAAAATGGCTAGAACACAGTTGAAGGTACGTTTTTCCCCCAATGACTAAAAGGCCAGTTGGTTATATGAATGTGTGAATTGCAGAGAAGATCCTAGGGGCAGGCATGGGGGCAGTCCAAAATATTAATATAAATGGGTCTTCTATCATTACCAGGACTTCAGCCACTCCCACATGTGCCTTTTATGGCATGGCTAAGAAATTACAACTTTGGTGGCCACACCCCAAAGCACTGCTAATGTTGATTCATTCAATGGCTTCTGCTCTCTTCCCTGCAGGCTCCTTTCTGAATGGCAGAATAAGAGGTAGACCAGTGCAAAGCAGTACCACTTCACTCTACTGAGCCATCTCTATTATGATCTCTGGAATGATTTATTTCAAGTTAGTGGTTTCTTGTGAAGAAGCAAGAGTTTTTTGCTCCGATATCAGCAATCAAGAGCAGCAGGGGTGAGCTACTTCACTCTGGTGGAGATTCATTTTTGCAGAAGATTGCTGAACACCAGGAAAGAGGCTATTTCCTCATGGTTTGTTAGGTGTGCCTAAAAGTGAGGGGCTGCTTTGTGAAGTTCCCTCAAAGGTGTCTTCAATTAAATTTCTTTGATTGAAGTATTACTTCATAATAATCTAAGCATAGGAAAGAACTCTCCTATCAGGCTAAAGAGAGAAATTTATTCTACAAGCTCTGAGGAAAGATCCATTCCATCAGCTCCTTCCTTCCGTCATCTGACAGTTGCTGTTTCCTGAATATTTCAATTTGAAACTAATCATAGCAAGAATATGCTGGTTTAAGAAGGGTAGCCTTGATCTGCTTCTTTCTTCCTCTTTTCTTTCTCCTTCTTAGACAGATCTGTTCTAGATCTGAAAGTTGAAATTAGAGACCATTTTGATTTTACTAATCTTATGGCAGCCATTCTGGAAGGCTATAGTTGGAGAAGAGTAAAACTGTTATAACAAATAAATAGTACATGCTCCAAGGTAATCAACTTCTTGAACTTTTCTCTTTTTTTGGCACTTTAGATTATTTTTCTCTAATCTGATGCTTTGCAGAAATTTTGGGAGCTATAGTACTTATATCTAGGAAGACTGCCTAGTTAAGGTCTTGAAGAATACCTAATACCTGAAGGTCCAGCTGTGATCAATCTCAGTATTACTTGTTTTCAAAAATACCTCACAACCCGTCCACCCATCTCTCTCTGTAAGTATGTGTGTGTGTGTCTTCTCATGTTACATTTTTCAAACTTGAAAGTTCCAAAGTGCCGGAAATTTTAAAGATCCTACCCCCTGCATTTTCTCTGGTGTTCTCCCCATTTGTCCTGAATATGTGCTGATTAGGATCATTCAAAAGAAAGCAATGAGACACTGATTTCAGTGGCAGCTTTCTAATTGCATCTTCTGCCAAAGGGTACATTTCCAGAGAAATTTACCTATGCTACTGTCTGAGCACTCTACGTGGAAATTGCTTCTGATGAGCAAATATCCAAATTGGGAAACATATTGCTTGGAGGTTTCATAGCCCACGCTGAGCCCACAAGAGTCTATTATTTGTTTAGTGAACAGAGATGAGATAGGCACTAAGGCTGTGCGGCACTTTGGATATTATCTTTGTAAAATGATTTGGAACTCAAGGGAGCATGAACATAGTACCTTTAAATTATCACAAGATTGTTGGGGGTGGGTAGACAACATTTGAAAATGCTGCAGGCTAATATTGTATTCGTGCACCTGCTCTTTCTGAAGGTTGATCCTGAAGCACTAAGCAGCCTTAATAAGCATACACTCAAGCTTAGGCAGGGCTTTTTTTCCTCATAGAACGCCCAGAACGGAGTTCCAGCACCTTTTTGGGATGGAACCTTGTAGGGTAGGCAAGGCGGGTTGTATGACGTGTGTGAGTTCCGGCACCTTTTTTTTTTTTTTTTTAGAAAAAAAGCACTGGGCTTAGAGATCCAACAACACTACACTAAGAATTCCCAAGGTATAAGGAATGGGTCTCCTTGGAATCCTTTTCTGTGCTTTTGTACCATTTTGAACCGTTTCCCGGTTTTTTTAGCTATGCCATAATCCAAGATCATTCCAAGAAAAGATTAAGAACTCCCAAATACTGGAGTCAGGACCAAAAGAGGGTGACATTTAAGAATCACAGGATACTTGGCCCTCATTTGAGTTTAAGGAAAGTGCATAAACCATAGTTCTTATTCTGAAGGTTTGGTCAGTCTTTAATTTTATTTTTGTAAGCTTCCCAAGTGCTTTGGGAAACTGTACTTGTCCTTAGTTAATTATGTGGAGTTCTCAGCTATGCCAAGACCAATTGTAGTGTCAGTATTATAAGCATTTACATGTATGAATAAATAGTAAATCCTCCACAATTGTTTAAGGTGACTTTTTTTTAAAGCACATTGGTATACTGACCGCATTAGAATTTTAGATTAAGCTTTAATATGGTTTCTTTGATTTTGGCCACTTGGAACATGGAGATTTTATAATCTTTGTAACTGCCAAAGCTATCACTTTGTAAAATACGATGCTCTTGTTTCTAACGATCTATTCAGTTCCTTGTGCTAATTCTTTAACTGGTCTAAACTTTTATAGCTCTGTTCAGTTTATTATTTGCCTTAATAAATGTCATATTTTGGTTATACTTTGAAAATATGCCCCTTACCTTCTCAAACTGTATCCATTTTCAGAAGTTGAGAATAAAAGAAGAGGTGGATATAAAGAAAATCGTTCTGGTATCCAGGACCACACAATGCGCATTTCTTGAGCCTTAACAATGGTGGAACTAAAATTATGTGCATTCACAATGAGGTGGAATGGTTGTCTGTGCAACAGGAAAAGAAAAGAGAGACTCTAATCAAACTATAATTCCAAAGAGATTGGCTTTTAGGAGAGAGAGGGCACTCTTTGCAAATAATTCTCAAGCAGGAACAACTGCTGATATATTAAGGTGACCAACCGTCCTCCTTTAGGGAGGACAGTCCTCCTTTTGTAAGTTCTGTCCTCCCTCAAAAAGTGTCCGCCTTCATGTCCTCCTTTTCGATATTTGAAGACTAATCTGCAGGGCTTTTTTTCCCCCTCATAGAACGCTCAGAATGGCGTTCCGGCACCTTTTTTTGATGGTTTTTTTTTTCAACTTTTGCATGAGCTGTGCTACTCCCACTATTGGCTTTTGAAAGCCAATAGGAATTGCTGCTGAGCACACCAAAACACCTGGCTGGCAAACTTTGCACATGCAAGTTATCTATATTATTGTTGCAATGTAAAAAATGTTTCTTTTATTTCTTTTATTTTATTCTTCAATTTATTTGTATCCTCCTTTTCATTGTAAAAAAGTTGGTCACCTTAGATATATTACATCCTGAAATTGCAGTGGTACAGGACACACAATGGCCATAAACTCTGGGACTTATTTTGGAGCAAGGATGGTCATGTGATCTGCTGGTTGTTCCGCTTTCCTTATTCTTTTTACATTTACAACTACAAATTCCTTCTGGGTCGTCTTTGGATGAAGCATAAGATATCATACGCTCTTCAAATCAGAATTGTATTAAGAGATGGTTGCTCATTGTTTTAAATGAAAGCTGTCATATTAACAAAATAACAGAGTTGGAAGGGACCTTGGAGGTCTTCTAGTCCAACCCCTGCTCAAGAAGGAGCATTGGTTAATAGTTCTCACTGTTAGGAAATTTCTCCTTAGTTCTAGGTTGCTTTTCTGTTTGATTACTTTCCATCCATCTTGCTCCTTGCTATCAGTGTACCCTCTTGCATAAGAGATGGATATTAGTTATTTTCAAGACTTCTGAGATAGAAATACTTCCCTTCCCCCCTCCACGTACACAAATATATGCCTACATGTATAAAATAGACAACCTCCATTAGACAATCTATTATTCCCAGCACTGAAACTAAGTTTACTTTACTTTACAGATCTTCAGTGTCTTTAGGTTTCAGGAATTGAAACCTAATCTGATATTAGAGGTGATTTTAAGCATGGCACATCTTGGATCCAAATGTCCATTTCATTTATCTGGGAAACTGCCCATGCGTTTGCATCCTACTCAAAAGAGGGAGTACCAATCTAAAAGGCAGATGGATTCTGCTATAATGTTGGTGCCTCTGACCACACTTTTTCAGGCCACTTGACCATTAAGACCAGGAGAAAAATGGGGCAGGACGAGAACAAACTCATCAATTAAATATAATTTATTGCACTCACAGACCAATCTTCTAAATAAAACATATTAGAAATAAAATAAGCATAAAACCAGAAAACGGAATAAGAGTGTTACTATTGGTGATGGGTTCATTAGCGGGCAGTCAGAGTGTGACTAGTCCTAGCACATAGGGAATTTTTAAATTTCATCCTTCCAGTTATGAATTAAATACAGTTAGGCTGATTATTCAATTGCAACTGCTGGAGAGATTCTGGAAGCAATACTCCAGCTTTGTATGGGGCAGATCCTGAAGCCTTGGGGTCAGACCTTGATATTAGTTCTGTATGTTCTTTTGGAAAAAATATCTGCTGTCAGGAATGGACTTTGAAAGCCCATGTTCTATAATTCAGACTTTGCAATGAAGTCTGGTTAAAATGATATCCTACTCTTAAGTTCTGATATATCTCAGACAAATATAAAGCACAGTAAGGCTTAAACCATATACATACAGTAAATGCAGACCCCATTGGTAGATTGCCTATGACATTGTTAAAACACATGGAAATTTAAATCAGTTTGCTTTCAGGGCTATTATTAATGTATCCTCATGCTTATTTCTATATTTTTTCCAAAGCTGGTATAAATCTAACATGGCTCAAATTTGTCATTATACTTTTTAGAAAGTTCATACATGACTAGTACTACTTACTGACATGATTATCTAATATATTTTATGAGGTCTGTAAACTTAGGGCAGACTGATTATGGCAGTTGTAGACTAGAATCTCTCTGTGGGGGAAGGCATATTTTACTGTGATTGATAGGATGGGCAGGAAATACTCTGCATGAGTTATTCTAATTGGCTAGGTTCTCCAGTCATTTAGAGTGGTATTGTATAGCATCTCATAACTGGAAATGCTATGGCATGCCCAAAAATATAGTAAAGAGGGTTCCTTTACCTGTGCTGCACCCTTGTTACTCCTTTATCCACCAGAGCCTTCCGGTTAGCCATCTGAAGAAGCCAGATTTCTTTGCGGGAGAAAAGTCGGATGCCAAATGCTTTCTCTAAAAGCTTTTCAGCTGCCAGGTATTCATGGATATCCCACAGGAAAGCCTGCAAGCTTCCCTTGATGTCAACCACCTCTTGTCCTCTTGAGGTCATAAAGAGCCGGTATTGCTTCAGCAGTGCCAGAGCAATGCGGTAAAGGACTTTTTGCCCCTCCAAGAGATACACATCAAAGATGCGAATGACATAATTAAAGGGAAGATCATCAAAGAGCCACACCAGCCACTCAGAGTACACCTCCAAGATGTCTGATGAACTTGCTATCAGTTGATGGGCAGCTGGGCAGTGCTTATTGGCTAAGTCCCCAAAGGTCATACAGGAGGCCTCATGAGCCAGGAAGGACTGGTCTATGTAGGTGGTGTGGGGAGCCTTGGAGTAGAGGAGTCGGCAAGTCAACTCAAAGCACTGGGCCTCGTCTTGGCTGTAATGGAGCAGCAGAGCAGTCACAGCTGGGAGCAAAGGACAGTAAGTAATCTCAGGGTACAGATTGGAAATGCAGATAAGTATTTTCTTCAAAGCCGTTATCCCTTCTGGAGTGAGGCAGTATTCAGGCATGATGCTTCCTTCCAGGAATTCAGGCAAGGGATCCAAACTTTCACTCTGGTTTCCAAATAACTTGCTGGCAACATCTTGGTAGACGAAGGCATCAGCAGTCATTAGCCGGCATGGTATATCTTGGATAATGTGCTGGTAAGCCTTTGCTCTCAGGGTATGGCTTCCAGCCCAACATCCTTCCCTTGCTAGTTTCTTTAGCTCTTTCCTAGACTTGCCAAGGAACTGCTCATGAGAGTCCTGATGATCATTCAGTTTGGAGATTTTGCTCTGGTCCACAAATGCACTGTAGCCTAGGTAGGAAGCTGGATTACTATCCCCTATCCCAGCCTTGGCAATGATTTGCACAGGTTGTTTAATTGGATTAACTGTCTCTGTAGAATAAAGACATTATGTTGAGTGCAATTTATCTACTATCTGACAGCTTGCTTAATGCTGCTTGACAAGTATGGGGGGGGGAACTCCTGCATTTAAACTGATAAACAGTAATTTGCCATTTGCTCTTAAGCTTCCATTTCATTCATTAGGTAGTTGGTCTTACCAATCAGAATACTGTTAGAAATTGAAGCATAGCGCAATAAAAGATTTTCATTATGGTAGGGTTAAATACTGAATATGATACAATAATTTTTTTAAAAAGGGATTTATTTATCTAAAGAATAATCATTATATATTTCTCAAAATGGCTATAAAAGAATATTTTGTCATCCTGATATGGCATCAGTCAACACAGCAAATACCTGTGTCAAATACAAGATTGTCAAGATGCTTCAGACGATGAAGCTTTCCATCCACAAATCTTTTAGTTTACAGTGAAAAAGTTCACTGTAACCTAGCTCTGGACAGTTCTGAACACTGCAGAAATTCAGACTCTACAAGGACAGACACAAGCACATGTTCTCTGAGAGAGAATGAAAGCAACAAAGGGTAAGACATTATTTTATAGCTATATTATCTAATAGGAAAAAAATGGTGCTATTAGGACTGCATAGCCCACGTTGGAAATCCTTGTATCTTTTTGCATCAGTCCCTTGTCCTTCCCATTTCTTCTTTCTCTTCCTCCCCACCCTTAGATGCTCCCTTAGATGCTTCCTAGAGAAACAGAGGTGCTGTAACTTCACTCTACAGTGCCTAAAAGAAATTAAAGAAAAGAGACATGGAATATTGTTTTCTTTGAGTTAGGGGGAAAGGACAGTGTGTGCTAGGTACAGAGAAGGTGAAAAATGTCAGCAGAGAAAAAGGGGATGAAGGGAGAGGGATAATCTGGGAATGGAACATGTAAGGCAAATCTGTAATCTCCCATCTCCTGTATATGTTGCCAGGTCCTTTACGTGACTCTGGCAGGGAGCTTAAACTTATTCTGAATTTGAAATCAGGATCTCCTGGGATATGCTCTACGTGGGGCTTCCTTTGAAGATCACCAGGAAGCTACCACTGGTCCAGAATATATCAGGGTGGACAAGGCTAGGTGCTTCTAGGTTTGCCCACGCTATACTTTTGTAGTGTGATCTGTCCTGCCTCCCAGTTACCTTTTGCGTGCAATTCAAGGTATTGGTTATCACCTTTAAAGTCCTACAGGGCAGGAGACCAAGTTATCGCTGGAGAGTATACCTGAGAGTATCTGCTTGTTGTACCAGATTGGATAGAGATAGACACGTTCCATGTTCTTTCTCTAAAATGTTGCCATGTAACAGGACCTTGGAAGTGTTCCTTTTCTGTGACTATCCTAATTATGGAATATCCTCCCGCTGCGACCTGGCAAGCTCCCACCCTTTTAGCTTTCCAGAAGTCGACCAAGACCTGGCTTAAGACTAGACCAGCGGTTCTCAACTTGTGGGTCGTGACCCCATTTGGGGTCGAACGACCATTTCACGGGGGTCACCCAAAAACGCAGTCCGCCATTTTTTCCCCCTTTTCCTTAGCTGTGCTACTCCCTTTTATTCTATTGGCTTTTGAATAGAGTCTAATTCTATTGGCTTTCAAAAGCAAATAGGAATTGTCCAGGCTGTCTCTGCCCTGCTGAGCCCGCCAAAAGCCCCAGTCTGCAAACGGTGCTGCAAGTTGTCTACAGCGAAGGAGAGCTGTCTGGAAGTTTCCACCCCTCCCTGCTGAGCAACTACTAAAAATGTAAGTAAAAGAGGGCCAGGGGTGGGAGGCCGGCGGGCGCAGGAAGGGTTGCTGGCGCGCTTGGGGCCTGGTGGGTGCCTTACCTCCCTTGGGCTGGGCCAGCTGGTGGCCCAGCCAGTGGTCAGCTGTGCCGTCTCTGCCGCTTGCCAGCTACACCTCGGCCGGCGCAGGGAGCGGCACCACGCGCGTCTCTCCCGGCCAGGGAAAGTCCTCGACTTACGACCGGTTGGGTAGTCCTCGACTTACAACCGGTTGGGTAGTTCTCGACTTACGACCGGTTGGGGTCGCGGCATTAAAAAGGTTGAGAACCACTGGACTAGACACTGGGATAGAGAGAGGGTGTCTTGGCGTGGTTGTTGAAGGGTTTTATGGTTTTTTATGTTTCTGTAGTTTTATTATTATTGTAAGCTACCCAGAGTTGCCCTTGCATGACCATACAAATCTTCAAAATAAACAAACAGTTAAATAAAATCCTGTCTTTAATGTACAGCAACTAGCAATGGGAATGGACTGTTTCCATGCAATAATCAACTACCACAGCAACATTTTTGGAGAAACTATGCTGATATGGTTGTAACAACCTGTAAAAATATTCTTCAGATCTAAGAAAGAAGCAAAACATTAGGAAAAGACGCAGACTGGCTCCCTGGGGGTATAGAAGGGAGGGAGGGAAAATCCACTCGGGCTTTCAGGATTCTGCTGCTACAGCCACTCTCAATAAATATGGACTTTTGGAGTTGTTTTCCTGGTCTGGCCTACCTCAAATGCTGACTCTGATAATGCAAGCCAGTCCAGGTTCCAGAGACAGGCTTCTCAAAAGGTACTTGCAGCATGGGGAAAGTCAAGCAGGCCAGGCTAATCATTTTCATTTTTCCTAGGAATGCTCAGGATCTGGGAGCAGCCAGCCAGGCAGATGATGATCCTGTCTTAAGCCAAGATATACCATGTCCCCTATTCTGCATGCTGAACAAAATAGCCAAAAGTAACTGTTGATTCCTCAAGATAGACTTTGGGGCTTCTTGCAATAGAAAATATAGGATGGAAATTTGACAAAATCTTATAAATATAATGAACATAGGTAGAGTTGATCACATTAGTTTTCATCTCTAAGTAACCTTACATTTTTATTTGTTGGGGGGGGGGAAGGAGACTTGGTACAATAAGATATGAGATATGCAACATATCTCAAAATCTACAGTTTTCTGTTTGAGCTTTTCAAATATTCTTGGATTTCTTTAGTTTTTATGACCCAATCTCCCTTTCTCAGAATGTACATGAACAATGGCTGTCTTTTAGATGGGAGCAGTAAACATTTTATTTTATTTCATGGAATATTTTTTTCTGTTTCTTATTAAAAATGTGGCCATAGTTCTGCTTGATCCGGCTGAATGATGTGGCCATGTTGTATCTTGATTTTCTTGAAGTGCAGCTAGAACGCAACCACTATCTCCACCAATAATGGCATGTATACCATAGATGTGCTTGCCTTTTGCACTGTTTATGGAAGTAAGCTGCCCCTCAAATGAACATTGTTCCAGCTCGATCTCTCATGTTATATATGTGACCCGATAGAGATAGAGAAGAAAATAGAGTATACCCAAAACAAAATAATGAAGTTTATAATAATTGGGTAACACTAATTCTTTCCATCTCTAAAAGAAATTGAAAATACAATTGATAAGAGATACTACACATTATTTAAAGGTGAAAGTAAAAGTTTGTGGATGTGATATTAGTTTGATTTGCAATAGAACTGGGTTTACATTCTTTGTTGTGAATGAGGATGAAGGGTTCTGTAACTGGAACAAAAAGGAATTGTTTAGCCTAACTATTGCTATCTTGCTTCTCTAATCAGCATTTGCATCAGGGACAAATTTCATGCAAACGTGGGAAACATGTACGTGGATGGGATTTACTGAAAGAGGGAATAAGGGAGTGTACAGGAATGATTGATGTCTTCCTTACATTGTAATGACTCTGTTGTCTGATTTTCATTGGCTAGCAAAGTTTATAAAGCAATGCTACTAACTTTTCAAGGTGTGGTACTTCTGAACGCAATTGTTGCCAGAGTTCAGATTGTGTTCCCACCCAGGACTTATTTCGATCGAAAATAAAGTGCTGTACTTTAAGAAGCCTCTGCTTCAGTATTCATGATTGGGTTTTTTATAATTTCTCAAGTTTTGCTAAGGGCCAATAACCTTACAGGGGTTTAGTCTAGTGGTGGGATTTGGCCAGTTCGCACCACTTCAGCAGAACCGGTAGCTAATTTTTTGTTACCCAAGCCCAGAATGGACTTCCGGAAGTGGCATCCACTGCAGAGAACTGGTTTTCACATATCTGAATCTCACCACTGGTTTAGTCTTATAAGTTTCCATTTGCTGAGTATTCAAATCTATTTTCCCAGACTTCTTCATAAAAGCTACCCATGAAGTGATGCAAATGTTTAGTATTCATTTAACACCTGTGCTTTAGCAATTTATAGCATTGTTACATTACTGTTGTACTGCAGAGGAGGAAAACTACCAAAATAGAAATGCCAGTACAGAGCTATTAGTGTCAGCTATACAAACACAGGGCTGGGGCTGGGGGTGGGAAAAGGAAAAGATGAGCAAATAACAATCAAGTGAAAAGTATCTGCTCAGGATAGATAACTATGTAGTGAATGTATAGGACAGTGATGGCGAACCTTTTTGAGACTGAGTGCACATACTGCAACCCAAAACCCACATATGCATCGTCGAATGCTGGGTAGGTGTAGCCCATTGAGTGGGCGTGGCCCATTGGCTGGGCATGGCCCATTGGCTGGGCGTGGCTGCAGTGGTAACGGCAGACTGGGTGGGACTAAAAAGTTCACTCAATCAATTCCAACTTTGCAAGATCTTTCCCCCCCCCCCGAGAGAAGTTGAAATTGACTGTTTGAACCTTTTTTTTTTTTTTTTTTTTTTTTTGCACACAGCGGCAGAGGCCTAAAGCGAAAAGGTTTTATAAAACCCAGCTGAAGGCCTAGGACTGGGAGGCCTAGGACAAATGCCCACAGAGAGAGCTCTGAGTGCCGCCTCTGGCACCCGTGCCATAGGTTCGCCAGCACTGGTATAGGACTTGCTGATGGACCTATTATGGCAGTTGCGTATTAAGTGTCATCTGCTGCTAATGTTCCTGAGAGTTGGGAATCTATTTTGAATCCTGTAATATAATATCCATCAGATTTCATGAAAATAATATAGTCCAGCTGGTGGAGAAGGCGGGG